TCCTCCCTGACAAATCTATTGCAACAATAACAGCTTCTCTCTTCCACCCTCCCCTCCCACAATTTCAAAGCATCTCCATTTTTCTCTTGGGCACAGTTGGTCTTCCCTCGGGAGCCATTTTGTCCCTCCCCAAGGCTTTGATGGATCCACGGCGGCCGGAAGTCCCCACAGAGCAAACGAGGTGAGGAATTTGGGGAGGGGGGAAGATCCATCCACTGCCTAGCCCTGGGGAGAGGGGTTTTCCCTGCCCTGAATTGACCTTCCTTAGTCAGACCTCTGTGGCCAAGATTTTGTAAGACTTGGGGGAGGGGGGTTCAAAAATTTTAGCAAGGGGTTCTCTGCCCTGTTGCTGGGTAGGCGTGGCCATGGGTGGGTGTGGCCTAGTCAACCTCCTGCGCCAGGGTGGGTGGGTGGAGCGTTTTTGCCCTGCCCGGGCTCTGGAGGTTTTTCTCGCAAAAACGTCCTCCCCAGGCACCGGAGGCCCTCTGGAGTTCCGGTCTTCCCAAACTTCTGGTAGATTTTTCGCCCTCCCCGAGCCTCCGCGCACCCCCTCCACATACCTGCATCCAAAACGGGCCACGTGGGAACTCCTGGGAGGGGTGGGGCGGGGTGGAGCGGGGCCAGCCAGGAGTGGGATTTGGCGGGTTCTCCGAACTGCACAGAATCTTAGCTAGAGGTTCTCCCGAACCCCCAGCGGCCCCACCCCTGATGTAAGGTTGCATAAGAATTATTACAAATTGCAAAGAGCAGTGGCGAAATAGCAAAAAAAAAAAGGAGAATAAGCTAGGACTGAGATGTGGGACCGAGATGTTTTCCTGCTCATTTCAGGGAAGAAAACCTGATCCCTTATTCCCCGGATGTGCAAATCCACGCCGAGAGGTTCATCAACTACAATCAAACCATCTCTCGAATGAGGGGCATTTACACAGCTCCATCGGGCCTGGAGTCCACTTGTCTGGTGAGCTCTTTTTTCTTAGGCCAATGTTCCTTCAGCTTCGAGAGGGGTGGGACTTCAACTCCCAGAATTCTCCAGCCAAGCTTGCTGCCTGGGGAATTCTGGGAGTCAAAGTCCAGTCCTCTTTAAAGTTCCCAAGGTTGAGAAATGCCATAGACCAGTGGTGAAATGTAAAATGTGTTCTGTGGGCGTGGCTTGGTGGGGGTGGGGGTAATGTGACTGGGTGGGCGTGGCCAACTTTTATTTTTTACTTTTAAAACCATTTTTTCTACAACCTCTTCAGCCGAAGAGGAGGTTAAAAAAAATGCTTTTTAAAGGCTCTGACGATCAGGCAACTCAGCTGGGATCGTCAGAGCCTTTTAAAAACATTTTTTCTACAACCTCTTCAGCCTCTGACGATCCCAGCTGAGCGATCATTAGAGGCTTTTTTTTTTTAACTTTTAAAAGCATTTTTTCGGCCGAAGAAAAAATGTCCAGGATGCGAGGGGTCTGTAGATATTTTCCCAGCCCTCTTTTTGACTCGTGCAGTATACAGGTCCTCCATGGAAGGCAGGTTGGTAGCCATGGTTTTTCCTGCAGTTCTGATTATCCTCTGAAGTCTGTGTCTGTCTTGTTGGGTTGCAGAGCCAAACCAGACAGTTATGGAGGTGCAGATGACAGACTCAATCATTCCTGAATAATAAACTGAATCAGCAGCTCTTTGGGCAGTTTGAGCTTTCTGAGTTGGCACAGAAAGAACATTCTTCGTTGAGCTTTTTTGATGACGTTTTTGATGTTAGGTGTCCCATTTTTAAGTCTTGAGATACGATAGAACCTAGAAACTTGAAGGACTCTACTGTTGATCCTGTGTTGTCTAGTATTGTAAGAGGTTTATTTATTCTTCTCTCCTTCAGGTGGTGGCTTATGGGTTAGACATCTACCAGACCAGAGTCTACCCCTCCAAACAGTTTGACGTGCTCAAAGACGATTACGATTACGTCTTGATCAGCAGCGTGCTGTTCGGGTTGGTCTTTGCCACCATGATCACCAAGAGGCTGGCTCAGGTGAAGCTGCTGAACCGTGCCTGGCGGTAACGGGAGAGATTCACGCAGACCCGCCCTTGAGGGTGGACGGCCGAGCCCTCCGCGAGGGAATCCCGGTGGGTTGCAGCCTCATTTGAAAGGGGAAGGGGTGTCTTGCCCCTTTCCCCCTTGAAGAAGAACGAACTGTGGAACCGCGCTGCTTGTTGCCCAAACCCATCTCCAGTTCACTGCGGAAAATGAGAAATTCTCGAGAAACGGGAAGGTTCTGTGAAATTAAGCTGCTTTGAAAATGGTGGTGTTTTTCCCCCCCGTCCTTCAATTTGCCTGCGCTGCAAAACTGCTTTGCTGTGGAACTTTCTTACAACGACCGTTTTCGACTCCTGAAGCCGTGATAAAAACATTGTCATCCTGTTTTTTCCCCCTTGAAATTTTAGCCGATTTAAGGAATTTAGCCAGATTTCTCTGCATAGCTTGTTTTTGTGTCCTCTCTTTCCCTTGGATTTTCAACAGAAGAAAATGGCTGGGGTGAAACATCAGCTTGGAAAATGCAGAAGATGAATCTGAAAAAAAAATATATACCGGGCAAAAGTGAGCCTGTTCAATCTTTAGTGTCCCTGGCAAGGAATTTCAAAGAGAGACAATCTGTCATTTCCCTGCATTGAATTTTTAAATTTCTCTTTCTTAATTGGCTCTTCTCCCCCCCTCCCTCCTTTGTCTTATAGTTTCCTAATTTATATTGAATTTTTTGAGTCAGCCCAGATTTGGGTTATGGGAGTACTTGAAGCTCATTGAAAAAAAGCAAGTTTGACTTTGTAAATGAAACATTTTTCCTGAATGTGTGGGGTTTTTTTTCTTTTTTCTCCTTACAGCAAGTGAGTGGCTTGCTAAGAGTCATCGGTTGGTTTATTTAAATTTATTCTGAGGAGGTGGCGGTGGGCAGAGTCTAAATCTGGAGTTTGCAGGGTAGAAATTTGTGTTTTCTGTCGGGGGGGAAAATGTGAAGTCAGACCCAATTCCCCCTGTATCCAGAAATAAAAGAAATAAAGAGTTGAATTTGCTTCTTTGGCTCTCTGGAGGTGTGTTTAACTGGCAGGTTTCCCTGGAAATGCAGGCTTGCAACCCCTTGCCAATGAAGCACCATTATTTTCATCAACTTTATTAAATGTAAAAATATAAGAATATATAAAATAACAAAAGATTTTAGATTGCAAGCTCTTTGAGCCAGAGATTTATTTGAATTTTAAGCCATTAATGTGTTATATACATACATATATATACAAATATATATGGCTTTTTAATGGCTTATATATATTTATATATATAAAAATAAACTCCTGTTTTGGATGATTTCAAAATACATCCAAGATGATCAAAGTTTTTTAAAAATCCCCTTTTTAAAACCCGTCTTTTGCCTATAGAAACCCTAGAGAGCGAGGGCGCATGCGCAGGTGCCGGAGAAAGTCGCTGAGTCACCTTTTTGCGCAAGCGCCCTTCCGCGCCTAGCCGGGAAAGGAAACCGATACTGCGCCCCCTGCGTTCCTTTGGCTTCCTTTCCATGCGGCGGCGGAAGAGCGGTCGGAAATAGCCGTGGGGCGTTCTAGCCGTCCGTCCCGGAAGTCTCTCTGGCGCGCTTCTGTGAGGCGAACCTGCGGTCCCTTTTGAAAGCAGCCAATTATTCTTCTGGACGTTGAGAGCCTGGATGTCGGTTGATAATAAAGACAAAAGCGTCCAATTTATTCGTTAGGGCAGGTTTTTTTATTTTTTCCCCCCACTTCAGGGAACAAACCGGTGTCGTTTGGGGTGGGGCGGAGCTTCAACCGGAAGCAGCGGCCGGTCGACGTCATTTCCCCCGCGACCCGGAAGCTCTCCCCCGGCCTCTGGTATCTTCGCCTCAGCAACTCTAACGCTACTGGAAGCAGAACTGAGGAGAGGCGGCGGCAAGATGGCGGCGTCGGGGGGCGTCGGCGGCGGGCCCGGGTCTTCGGAGCGGGATCCCGGCTGGGAGGTGGCGGTGCGGCCGCTGCTGTCGGCCTCCTACTCGGCCTTCGAGATGCGCGAGCTGCCGCAGCTACTGGCCTCCGTCATTGAGAGGTGGGAGGGAGGAGGAGGAGGAGGAGGAGGGGGCGGGGCTTCAACCCTCCCCTCCCCCGCCCGCCGGGTTGGAAGTGGGAGGAGGGGCGTCCTCGAGGAGGAAGACCCCCCCCTATTTTGTACTGCCGACCCCCCAAAACCTCCACCTCAGGTCTCCCTCTCGTTTTGACAGCTCCTAGTGGGCGGGGCAAAATGAGGCCACCTCCTCCCCTCACAAACTCTCCCTCTGCTGGGTGATGGGAGTTATAGTCCTTACCCAGCTGGGAGCAGCCTGGCCCTAGGGGAGAACCTGCCCCCCCCTCTGGGGATGATGGGAAGGGTGGTTGGTCCACCTGGGAGGGGAAGCCTCTCTGGGGGAAAAGTGCCCGAAGGATGTGGGTGATGGGAGTTATAGTTCTTGCCCAGCTGGGAGCAGCCGGGCTGAGGGGGAGAGAACCTGCCCTTTGGAGATAATGGGAGGTGTAGTTGGTCCACCTGAGAGGGGAAGCTTCTGGGGAAAGTACCCAAAGGATGTGGGCGATGGGAGTTATAGTTCTCGCCCAGCTGGGATGAGGGGGATTGAAGGAGAGAACCCGCCCTTTACAGATAATGGGAGGTGTAGTTGGTCCACCTGAGAGGGGAAGCCTCTCTGGGGGAAAAGTGACCAAAGGATGTGGGCGATGAGAGTTATAGTTCTTGCCCAGCTGGGAAAAGCTGGGATGAGGGGGATTGAAGGAGAGAATACGCCCTTTGGAGATAATGGGGGGTGTAGTTGGCCCACCTGGGAGGGGAAGCCTCTAGGGAAAGTACCCAAAGAATGTGGGTGATGGGAGTTATAGTTCTCACCCAGCTGGGAAAAGGTGGGGTGAGGGGGATTGAAGGAGAGAACCCGCCCTTTGGAGATAATGGGGAGTGTAGTTGGTCCGTCTGGGAGGGGAAGCTTCTTGGGGAAAAGTGCCCAAAGGATGTGGGCGATGGGAGTTGTAGTGGTTACATGGTGGTTGAAAAGCCCCTGCTGCCCTGGATTTAGAAGGAGCGCCTTAAAGGGTGGTGTTGAGGGGGCTGAGGTGCACAAAAGTTTCAGGTTGTGAATATCTGTGATGGGTTGGCTCTTCATATTGCCATGAAGTTGCCTTTGGTTGTCATTTCTCTCGGTGGATTTAAAATAGTTATGCTGGTCTTTCAGGATCTCTTTGATATAAAGACATTTGGCTTTAAAGACACGTCCAAAAGGGCAAAAAGAAATGTTTTTTTAAGCTGTTTGAAAAGGTTAGTCAGAGTCAGATCAGTTGGAGGCCTGGCCCTGCAGGATCCTTTCCTATCCCGTCCCAGTTTAGAAAAGGCTTGGAGAAAGTGGCGTCCATTTCTTCTCACTGATGAAATTGCTTCCACGTTGGCTCAATCCATTGGGGATCTGTTGTGCTTCACTTCTTTGGCCCTGTGTTTTCGTTTGCACGTTTTTGTGGGGGGGGCTGTAGCCCCCTCTTTTTCTTTTATGGTCTGGGAATGCATCGTTTGAACCTAAGCACTCCTAATTTCAGTAGTACTCCATATCCCATCCTGATGTCCTTTGGGTTCCTGAGACTTTAGAAGGGTTTGAATATCTAATCTTGTATTCTAGGGGTGGGCTGGAGCTCTTTAGCATATATTTTGCACAGTTTCTGTTTTAGATAGCAGCTGCTTGTCTTCTTTGAAGCTACATATCACTAGTTGATTTTGGGCTGTACGTTGCTTTTATTGATGGTATATCTTAAGCTAGATGTCTGTGCTGCTGGGGTTAAGAATTTCTTAGAGCAACTGACTGCTGTTCAGAGTTGGAGTTATTTAAAAAACAAGGTAATCTCCCAAAACAATATTTAAAAATGCTACCTGGATTCACACTGTTGGCAATCTGAGTGTAATTTTTTCACCAAATGCTCTCTTCATCTCTTGTCACCTTAGGGTGTTTATCCAAAGTTTCTATTATGCAACAGCCTGCTTTGAAAAACTTCCCCTCTGCAAAGTTGTACAAACTCTGTCTCTTTGCCTTCCTGGGTGGGATTGTCAGGTTTGTTTTTCAGTGCATGCAGAATAAATCACATGAGCCTAGTAGTCAAGGTTTGGAAAAGCAAAAAAAAAAAAAAAATTAGCATGCGACCGCAAGTATTGAAGGTGCTGTGTTCCTGTTTGCTCTTCCTTTCTGGGATACGATTCTTAACCGTTTATTTGCAAAATAAACCCTCTCGGGGATTTTGTGATCCTTGTCTTAAGTTGTGTGGAATCATTTCAGGGCCTCCAAATCTTGCAAGCCACCAAATGATGCCTGCTGCAGTCACTTCACCGTGTCCGTGGAATCTGTGGGGAGGATTTATAACTCGGATTTCAAAAGTTGTGTCGGTTGCTTTTGTTGGCTTGCTCCGAGTTCATAATTCTGTCATGGTGCAGTCCCTCCTAACATTGCTGGTGCTGAATCAAACTTTGGGCCTGAGGCCAGCGCTTTGTTCCTGAGTAGCTGAGTAGGCCTGAGTAGCTGGTCAGTCAGATAAACAGAGGGGAGGCCACTGGAATTCCTCAGCAGTATCTGATACTGACAGATAGATCTCTCTGTGCTTACCATCTGCTTCTTGGTGGAACGAGAAATGTATTTGATGGGCCAGTGGTCTGACAGCCCATGTGTTGTGGCTGTGATTCCAACAGCGAGGAGGCTGGTGTGGTGCTGTGCCAGCAGCCTGTGCAGTTGGCACTCGAGTCGGACAATGAGGAGGCTGGAGAAGATGTGGTGCCAGAGGCGGGGATTGAGCCAGGGCCTTCAGAACCTCCAGAAGCTCCTTTAAGTGAAGAGGAAGAAGAGGAGGAGCCTCTTCTCGATGCACGGACGCGCAGAGCTGCCAAAAGGCAGGAGTGGCTCCTCAGGAGGAGGTCTCCTCGAGAGTAAGGCTTGGGGCTAATTGGCCACTCCCTTAGCCTATTTAAGGAGGAACGCCGACTGAGGCAATTTGTAGGGAACAACTTTAGTTCATTCTCCTTCGCGTCTGGATTCTCTGCAAATTGCTTCTGGGCTTTCTGCGAACCTTAGTAAGATTGTGATTCCTTTATCTTTGGTTTCTTGTAGGCTGTTAAGAAAGTTTATTAACAGCCTTTGTTTGAAAAGGACTGAGTTATTTTAGTAAATTAAGTTTTGTACAGACTTTGTGTGTGCTGTGTTCTTTGGGGTCCGTAGCTGGGGCTGAACACCATGGCAGCTTCCTCATATAAAGCAAGTGGTTTCTATAGCAAAATGTCCCAATTCAGAAAAGGACGCCAGCTTAAGAGGTTCAGACTTAGAACTAGGATAAGCTTTCCAGCAGTCACAGAGATTCCTTTCAAGTCCCTGCTGGCTGATGATCTGACCTGTGGTTTTAAGCGCCAGTAGGGAAGCTTAAGTTGCTATATATCAGTAGCAAAACTCACCCAGAGACCAAAATTCCACCTTCCTTCCACCTTCGATGCTCAAGAGCTTCACAACGTTTACTTTAAGGGCGCCCGGTTTCTGAGTCTTGTGTTTCTCCTGCTTCTTTCCTCCGCCGCAGCGAGTCGGAAATTCTGCACCACGACAAGCAATACGAGCCTTTCTACTCATCCTTTGTTGCCCTTGCAACGCACTACATCACCACGGTGTGTGGAGTGGGTGAGTGAGCGCGGACTGTCGTTGTCTGCCTAATTTTTAATTATTATTTCCCCCCCCGTGGAATTCTGTGAGGAGCGGTTTCCAAAACGGGCTTAGGAGGTGGTTAGCAGAAGGGTTAGAAGGGACATAGCAGGAGGGAGGGGCATTTATGAACACCCAGAAAGGAGGAAGCAGAAAATGATTTTTCAGATAGCAATAGCAATAAGAGCCCTTAGACTTATATACCGCTTTACAGTGCTTTTACAGCCTTCTCTAAGCGGTTTACAGAGTCAGCATATTGCCCCCAACAATTTGGGTCCTCTTTTTTTTTTTTTTAATTTGATTTATATGCCGCCCTTCTCCGGAGACTCAGGGCGGCTTACAATGTGCTCAGCAATAGCACATTTTACCCACCTCGGAAGGATGGAAGGCTCAGTCAAGCTTGAGCCTGGTGAGATTTGAACTGCCAAATTGCCGGCAGTCAGCAGAAGTAGCCTGCAGTACTGCACTCTAACCACTGCAGCTCATGTGTAGAGTAGAGTAGAGTAGAGTAGAGTAGAGTAGAGTAGAGTAGAGTAGAGTAGAGTAGAGTAGAGTAGAATAGAAGAATTAGAATAGAGTAGAGTAGAGTAGAGTAGAGTAGAGTAGAATAGAATAGAATAGAATAGAATAGAATAGAATAGAATAGAATAGAATAGAATAGAATAGAATAGATAGAATAGAATAGTTGGAAGGGACCTTGGAGGTCTTCTAGTCCAACCCCCTGCTTAGGCAGGAAACCCTACACTACTTCAGACAAATATATCTGTAGGTTGGGGTAACTTTTGGTTCCGTTGCCTCTGATCTCACCGAGTGGGACCTCTGAAGGCCCCAAAGCCTCTGAAGGGCTACAGAGTCTCCACCAGAAATTAAAGGGTTGGAGGGCAGGCTACATTTCAAGGGAGGGGGATTCCTAGATCAGCTAACGCAGTAAGGCAAGGACGTGGCATTGCTTAAAAGCTCCTCCCTCCCCCCCCACCCTCAAACTTGGTTGGACTGACGTAACCACGTTGCCTTTTTCAGTACCTCGGAACCAGCTGCAGTCTGTAGCAGCTGCCTGCAAAGTACTGATTGAATTCTCCCTGTTGCGACTTGAAAACCCAGACGAGGCTTGCGCTGTCTCACAGGTGAGGAGAGGGAGAGTTTCCCCCCACCCCTTCTGCCACATTGGGGAGTTTCTCCGAATCACGGGAGGCCCTTGGTTGAAGCTGACCCAGGGAAGCCGGGGTCTTGCTTTGCAAGACTTGAGGATTTCGTGCCTCGGAATTAACAGCAGAGGCCATGCTGGATGGGGGTGGAGGTGGGGACTCTGGAAATTGGTGCCTGCCCAGCTGGGGGTCTGCTCAGGTTTGGGAAAGGTGCCCTGAATCTTGCGCCGCTCACCTTTCCTGAAATGCTGCCGTAGAAACACCTGATCCTGCTGATCAAGGGGTTGTGCACCGGTTGCAGCCGCTTGGATCGGACAGAGATCATCACTTTCACAGCGATGATGAAGTCGGCCAAGCTGCCTCAGACAGTGAAGACCCTCTCAGACGGTAAAGGCTCCCGCCCCGTGATATCATCTGCCCCAGGGGGGTGCCGATAAGGGCCTGCTAACCCTAACCCTAACCCTTTCCTCTTTTTCCAGTGGAGGATCAGAAACAGCTGGCTTCTCCTGTCAGGCCTGAACTGCGCCAGAAGGAGGTTCAGATGAACTTCCTCAATCAGCTGACCTCGGTCTTCAATCCCAAAATGGCCCTGGCACCAATGACGACGCTGCAGGCTCAGGTGGGTTGCGGAAGGAAGAAGGTTGCCCAAGAAGGCTCGGATTCCCTTTGGGAAAATGGCTGCCCATCCTCCTTAATGAGGGGCGACCGGAGGGCCCCAAGGCTCTGTCTGGAGTTCTCGGGGAGCCTGTGAACTTCTGATGGCGGGAGATGGTAACTGTTCTGACCCGGCTCCCCAAACACGACAAACCCTCTGTAGTTAAATCAATGATTCATTTATTAGGAGTGCCAGCAGCTCTGGCAAAAATCTCTCTGTCTTTCACAGCAGGCTAGCAAGTCTGTCCGCTAGGGAGATGAATAGTTGTCTGCCACACCTATTCATCTCCGGCCCCTGCCTTTTATCCCCAGAGCTAGGGTGGGGCTTCGCTAGCACCAATGGCTCTTCCATCCCGAGGACCGGCCCATAGATTTCCACTGCTCTCCTCTCCTCTGCCTTCTGCACATCCGCACATCGGGCACTGGACCCAGCTGTTCCTCCTCTTCCTCATCAGCCACCTCCAGACCTGGGGGCTGTTGACTCTCCATCTGAAGGCTGATGGACAGCCCAGGCTCTCAGTGTTCTGTCCCCCTTCCCCACACAGGCAAACACACAGCCAGGCACGCCTGCCAAGATTTTATTAAGCAATCAGACTACAAACCCTTGCAGATAAGAGTTTTGGCAGTAAGCTGCGAAATGCCTGCCAAGTCAGTTTTCACTCACAGTCAGCAAGAGAGAGTTTCTCCTCAGTCCGGTTCAGTAGCAAAAAATAATCCACGAAGCCAGAATTGGCCAAGGTCCAGTCCAAATATGCACAAGCCAGATTTCAGGTAACGCGATGTGACTCTCAGGTTTTTAACTTTGTCCGTCACAAAGGCTGAAGAGCAATCCCACCCACTTTTATTCCTGGTGGGGCGTGGCTCCGTGACTCAGCTCAATCTCTGGCCCTCCCACGCCTCTTCTGTTGCTGCGCACGCTTCTCCCTCCGACGCTGCCTGGGATCAAGCCAGGATTCATCATCCTCGCTCCCTATCAATTGGGTGCTTCGATATGCCTTCCTCCTGGCCCATCCCAGGCTGTTCCTCCTGGCCTTCGGATGGAACCTGAGGCATTGCCAGAGAGGAGGGTCCTGGAGAGGGAGGCCTTGGCGGCCGACAGGCCACAACAAAATAACGCTTGGCTCTGCTTCTAGGGGGAAGGCGAAGGCGAAGAGCAGGCCGTCACAGACCAATCCTCCACAGCCAAAACCAAGAGTATATTTGTTGCCCAGAATGTGGCCAGCTTGCAAGAACTCGGTAAGGAAAGGGGGGGGGGGAGGAGCGTTTTGTCTTGCTTGTCTTAACAGAGCTTCCCCGTTTCCAAAGGCGGCATCTGGAGAACGAGGGGGGTTGGGGCTGCTTCCTTGCCATGACTCTGTTCTCGGGCCCAGCCGTCCGCAACGCGAGTTAAGAACTACAATTCCTTTGAGGTGGTGGAAGTCCCCGACTTAACAACGGTTCATTTAGTGACCCTCCAAAGTTAACGACAGCACTGGGGGGGGGGAAAAAGCGACTTAGGACCATTTCTCACAGCGTTGCGGCATCCCCCATGGCCACGTGATCAAGACTCAGCTGCTTGGAAACTGAGTCACACTTAACGACGGTTGCAGTGCACCGGGATCATATGATCATTTTTTTGCAACCTTCAGACAAGCAAATAGAATACTGCATCCAGTTTTGGTCACCAAAGTCCTACAGTTAGGCAAGAAAAACCCAAAAGTACCCATATAGACTGGGTGAAACCAGGCTTAATAGCAGTAACTGTGAGAGGGATCTTGGAGTCTTAGTGGACAACCAGCTAAATATGAGCCAGCAGCAAAAAAAAAAGCCAATGGAATCCTAAATTACATTAACCGAGGGATACAATCAAGATCAAGGGAGGTACTAATACCACCCTATAAAGCCTTAGTAAGACCACACCTAGAGTACTGCATCCAGTTTTGGTCTCCACACTATAAAAAAGATGTTGAGACTCTAGAAAAAGTGCAGAGAAGAGCAACCAAGAGGATTAGGGGACTGGAGGCTGAAAAATACAATGAACGGTTGCAGGAACTGGGCATGGCTGGTCTAGTGAAGAGAAGGACCAGGGGAGACAGGATAGCAGTCTTCCAATATTTGAGGGGCTGCCACAGAGAGGAGGAAGGGGGTCAAGCTATTTTCCAAGGCACCCAAAGGCCGGACAAAGGCCGGGCAAGGAATAATGGATGGAAACTGAACAAGGAGACATTCAACCTGGAAATAAAGAGATAAAGTTGCCTTCAGAAGTTGTGGGAGCTTCATCACTGGGAGCTTTCAAGAAGAGACTGGACTGCCGTCCGTCAGAAATGGCGTAGGGTCTCCTGCTTGGGCGAGGGGTTGGACTAGATGACTTACAAGGTCCCTTCCAACTCTGTTAATCTGTATTAAATTCTATGGGGAAGCCAGATTCACTTAACAACCGGGTTACTAATTTAAGGACTGCAGCGATTCGCTTAACAAATGTGGCGAGAAAAGTCGTAAAATGGGGCGAAACTCGCTTAATGAATTTCCTCACTTTTGCCACGTAAACGTTGGGCTCAGTTGGAGTCGTTAAGTTGAGGGCTACCTGTAATTTCTTGCCTCTCGGCTCCCCGGGGCCATTTGGCAGGCTCTTAAGAGGCTAGTCCTCATCATTTGCTTCCTTCACCCTGCTTCCCTTTCCATTGCAGGCGGTTCTGAAAAGCTGCTACGCGTCTGCTTGAATCTCCCGTACTTCCTGCGCTATATTAACCGCTTCCAGGATGCCGTGTCGGCCAATTCCTTCTTCATCATGCCGGCTACTGTTGCCGACGCCACAGCAGTCCGCAACGGGTAAGCGCCCGTCCTCTTCCAACTCTGGCTTTTTATAACCTGGTTTTCCCCCCCTGTAGGTTCTGAGCAGAACTCGATCTCTTTTTTTGTTTGTTTGTTAAATATTTTTTATCGTTTTATATCACATATTCCATTTCTATTTTGAACAGTGTGTTTTTTAGGTGTTAAAAGGTCCATGGTGTTAACATATAAACATCATAATCATTATAATCATATATGCGATAATATCAATTGTTATTGAAAAGAATGCTATCTTCTATTATAGTACCCTGTTTCCTCGAAAATAAGACATCCCCTGATAATAAGCCCAATTGGGCTTTTGAGCGCATGCGCTAAAATAAGCCTTCCCCCCAAAAATAAGCCCTCCCCGAAAATATTTAAACACAGAGCTGGAAATCAGGTAAGATGGCAAGAGGAGCCCCATCTTGCTCCACGTGCCCCAAAATAATAAGACCTCCCCGAAAATAAGGCCAAGCGCTTTTTTCGGGGTTCAAAAAAATATAAGACCGGGTCTTATTTTCGGGGAAACACGGTATCGGTTATATAACCATCAAAATATTTACTCATCAGTTTTTCTTTCTCATGTAATCCATATTTCACATAAATCTCCTCCTCTAACTTCAGTATCTGTGACTTAACCATTTATAGAATAGTTCCCATGTTATAAAATATTCCGAGTCTTCTTTTCCTTTGATTTTTAAGGTTAACCTATCCATTTCTGCACATTCCAGAATTTTTCTTGATTATAATGTCATCTGTAGGGGGTTTCTGGATTTTTCCGGTATTGTGCCTATACAATCCTGGCTGTTGTTAGGATACGTAAAATTAAATATGTGTTACCCTTATTATAGTTTCCTTGAAGCGTGCGCAACAAGAATCTATGGGTTGTTTCGTCATAATTTCCAGCCAATTTTCTTCCAGGTTTTTTTTTTTTTTTTGCTTTGGGACACTTCCACCACATATGAAAATATGAGCCTGGTATTGGGTTGCATTTCCAACGTTTAACAGATTTATTGTTATACATATTCGCTAACCTCGCAGGTGAATAATGCCATCTATCAAACATTTTATAGAGGTTTTCTTTATACGCTGTTGACAGCAGAACTCGATCTCTTGATTCCCTCCCTTGCCACTTTTACCCCAACCTTCCGTTTCCCTCCACCTGCGCAGGTTCCATTCCTTGGTGATTGACGTCACCATGGCCCTGGACACGCTCTCCCTCCCTGTCCTGGAACCTCTGACACCCTCCCGCCTGCAGGACGTGACCGTTCTGGCCCTCAGCTGCCTCTATGCAGGTGAGTCAGGGCGACGCGGGAGCCAAGCCGAAATCCCTGGGTTGTGGCTGTGTTGTTGTGGGTTCCTACACTTGAAGGAAGAGAAGGAGCTTCGTTTGTTCCAGTAAAGGGAAGAGAAGAGAGGCTCCTCTTCTCCCTCCGTTTCTCCTGTGCTCAGTTTTCCATTGTGAGATCTTCGGGTTTAAAGAGGTTTTAATCTGCGTGAAGTGCCACCTGGGTTTACAGTAAAAACTCCGAAAGTCAGTTTGCTTTTAATAGCAACAGCACTTAGACTTACATACCGCTTCACAGTGCTTTGCAGCCCTCTCTAAGCGGTTTACAAAGTCAGCCTATCGCCCCCTGGGTCTGACCTCAGAAGGATGGAAGGCTGAGTCAACCTTGATCCGGTCAGGATTGAACTGCTGGCAATTGGCAGAATTAGCCTGCAATACTACATTCTAACAGGAAGGGAGGGAGGGAGGGAGGGAGGGAGGGAGGGAGGGAGGAAGGAAGGGATGGGTTGGATGGATTGATGGATGGATGGATGGGAAGGAAAGATGGGGTGGATGGGAACGAGGGAAGGATGGATGGATGGAAAGGAAGGAAAGATAGGAAGGAGGGAAGAAAGGAGAGATGGGTTGGATGGATGCATGGGAAGGAAGGATGGGATGGATGAGAGTGAGGGAAGGAGAGATGGATGGATGGAAAGGAAGGAAAGATAGGAAGGAAGGACACTTAGAGTTATATAACACTTCCCAGTGCTTTGCATCCCTCTCTAAGCGGGTTACAGAGTCAGCCTATTCCCCCCAAACAATCTGGGTCCTCATTTTACCCACCTTGGAAGGATAGAAGGCCGAGTCAACCTTGAGCCGGTCAGGATTGAACTGCTGGCAATTGGCAGAATTAGCCTGCAATACTGCATTCTAGAAGGAAGGAAGGAAAGAAGGAAGGAAGGAAGGAAGGAAGGAGAAGGAGAAAGGGAAGGAGGAAGGAATAGGAAGGGAGGGAAGGAAGGAAGGGAGAATGGGAGGGAGAAAGAAATAGGAAGGGCGGGAATAGGGAGGGAAGGAATACGGAGGGTGGGAGGAAGGGAAGGAAGGAAGGAAGGACACTTAGACTTATATACTGCTTCACAGTGATTTACAGCCCCCTCTAAGCGGTTTACAGAGTCAGCATATTGCCCCCAACAATCTGGGTCCTCATTTTACCCACTTCGGAAGGACGGAAGGTTGAAATGAGGTGGGGGGAGGCGTCTTGCTCATTGTCCCCCATCACAGGATGAGACTCAAGGCCTTGAAGTTGGTCCCCGTTGCTCTGGCTGACCCCAGGATCCTTCCTCTTCCCCCAGGGGTCAGCGTGGCCACCTGCATGGCCATCCTACACGTGGGCACCACCCAGCAAGTCCGCACGGGCTCCACGAGCTCCAAAGAAGAGGACTACGAAAACGATGCCGCCATCATTGTACAGAAATGCGTGAGTCGGCCACACACGGGACGGGATGGGGGGAAGGGCCTGCAAGGAAAGCGCGAACTCCAGCTGAAGTTGCAGCCGCAAAATTCTCGAGGGCGTTGGGGTGGTATCGGCCCGGGCTTTGGTCTCTTTCACGAGAACCTTTTTTTAAAAAAGATCCGTCTCTCCCCACAGTTAGAAATCTACGACATGATCGGCCAAGCCATCAGCAGTTCCCGCCGTGCAGGTGGGGAGGTAAGAGTGAAAAGGAGCCAATAAATGAATAAATAAAACAATTCTTCCATGTCGCCCTCTGGAACGGCAATCACAATGTGATTTTGTGTGTGTGTGTGTTTGTTTTTTTTTTTCCGGGACTCCAGCACTACCAGAACTTCCAGCTACTCGGGGCCTGGTGTCTGCTGAACAGCTTATTCCTCATCTTGAACCTCAGCCCGACCACCCTGGCCGACAAAGGGAAAGAGAAGGACCCCCTGGCAGCCCTTCGGGTCCGGGATATTATTGTGCGGTCCAAAGAGGGTGTCGGATCTCCCAAACTTGGACCTGGCAAAGGGTAGGTTTGGCCCTGAGCAGGGGCAAGTCCGGGAGGATGGGGGGGGGGGGCTTTTCCTTGCTGTTTCTTCAGTCTTTGGCATTGGGTGTCAAAGCCTGGTTGGAGAGTGCAGTTTCCTTCCATGTCTTGCCCTCGGACGAGAGGTCCTTATTTTTATTTATTTATTTATATATTTATTATAAATATGTTTATATAATATCAAATATATTTTGCTGATAAATAAAGGGAGACTAGTATAGATCTATTTCAAGCTTTTTAGCTCTCTTCAGCCAGCCATACCCTTACTTGGATTCGAACTTGGGCTGCCTGCATGTTAGGCAGTTGTATTAACCACTAAGCCACAAGTTCTCCTCCCTTCATCAGCTTGAGCCAGGGGAAAGATTAAGTGTGGTTAATACATACATACATACATACATACATATATACATATATATATATTCAGTTTGTTAAACATGTATAAGATAACAGATATAAGTATAAACATGATTATGAATACAGGATAAGGATACAAATAAATGGGGACAGTAGGACAGGAACAGAAGGCACGTTGGTGCACTTATGCATGCCCCCTTTACGGACTTCTTAGGAATGGGGTGAGGTCCGTGGTAGACAGTTTAAGTTTGAAGTTTTGGGGGTTTGAGGGTGTAAGAGTCAGGTAGTGCATTCCAGGCATTGACCACTCCGTTGCTGAAGTCGTATTTTCTGCAATTGAGTTTGGAACAATTTACCTTGAGTTTGTACCTATTCTTTACCCGTGTATTGTTGCGGTTGAAGCTGAAGTAGTCATTGACCGGTAGGACGTTGTAGCAGATAATTTTGTGTACTACGCTTAGGTCAGACGTAAGGCGGCGTAGTTCTAAGTTGTCCAAGCCCAAAATTTCGAGCCTGGTGGCTTAAGGTATTCTATTGTGAGCAGAGGAGTGGAGGACTCTTCTCGTGAAATATCTCTGGACTCACTCAATTGTATTAATGTCCGATATAAAGTATGGATTCCAGGCAGACGAGCTGTATTCAAGAATTGGTCTGGCAAAGGTTTTGTATGCCCCAGTTTGCAGTTCAATATTACCAGAGAAGAAGCTTCACAAAATTAGCTCTCTCTTTTCCTCACCTGGGTCCCCCATCTGCAGGCACCAAGGATTTGGCATCCTCTCCGTCGTCCTGGCCAATCACGCCATTAAGCTCCTCACTTTGCTCTTTCAAGACCTCCATGTGGAGGCCCTTCACAAGGTGAGCGCTTGACAAAGGGACCGGGCGGGCTCTCAGAATTGCCGCCGGGGAAGGGATCCAGGTGTGTTTTGACGTCTCTTACTCTCCCCTGTGTGGGGGGGCTCTTGTCCTTCAGGGGTGGGACACGGATGGCCCTCCGGCCGCCCTGAATATCATGGCCCAGAGTACGTCGATCCAGAGGATCCAACGCTTGATCGAGTCGGTGCCTCTCGCCAACCTGCTGCTGACCTTGCTGTCCACAGCGTATCGGAAGGTGGGTGAGGGGCCCCTTACGGATGTCTCTTGGTGGGTAGGTGGGTGGGAAATGACCCTCCCCTTGGTTCTCTCTGCTTCGGCCATTCTCCCATCGAGAGAAAAGAGATGGGCCACGGTGGGGCTTGAAGGGGAAGTCGTCAAGTGGTTTTCCTGGCTTGTTCTCGATGGTGTGAATCTGCCCCATGCGGGAAGGAGTGGCCCGTTATCATTCGGGCACGGTGCAAACCCCACCCAGGGAAGAAGCAGAGTGCCTGCCCTAGATTAGCAAGGAAGGAGTGTTTTTTTGGTTTTTTTTAGGCTCTGCTTTTCCAAGGGGGGCAAAGTTAAGCCTCGTTGGCCCTCACGTCTGAGATTTGCTCCGGGGAGCGGTTGTAAGGTTTGGGTGGGAGATGTTCACTGGCTGGGCTTTTGTGACCCCTCCCTTCCTCCACCAACCCCAACCTCCCCCCTTTTTCAGGCTTGCGTCTTGCAGAGACAACGAAAGGGGTCCATGAGCAGCAACGTCAGCGCCTCCACGGACTCCAACACCTACTACGAAGACGACTTCAGCAGCACGGAAGACAGCAGCCAAGGTGGGGGCGGGGGGTGCAGAAGAGGCTTCAGTGGGGAAGTGACAGGTCTGCATTGGAGAGGAAGGTGCTCGGGGGAGGGGGGGAAAGGCCCTGAGCCGTGTTCCTGGCCCTTCAACCGTCTGACTTGCCCCTTTCCCCCCCCCCTTTTCAGACGATGACAGCGAGCCGATCCTTGGGCAGTGGTTCGAAGAGACCATCTCCCCCAGCAAGGAGAAAGTGGCCCCTCCTCCCCCTCCTCCCCCACCCCCTCTGGAGAGCTCCCCCCGGGTGAAGAGCCCCAACAAGCAGTCGGCAGGAGAAAACGGGAACATCCTGGCCAGTCGCAAAGACCCGGAATTGGTGAGCTACCCAGGACTCTGCCTCAAAGTCAAATTTCTGGGCTTGCCTTCCGCTTTTATTTGTTCTTTTATTTATTTATTTTTTTTTAATCGATGCCTTTGGCTTTCTCTTTTCTTTCAGTTCTTAAATCTGGCCTCCAACATCCTCAACTTCCTAACTTCCTCCATGCTGGACTCGAAGAACAATTTCATTCGCAACTACCTGAGCGTGTCTCTGACGGAGCAGCACATGGCCACCCTGGCCAGCATCATCAAAGAAGTGGACAAGGATGGGCTCAAAGGTCAGGAAGGGGAGGGGAGGGGAGTCTCCCTCGCCCCCCAACCCGCAGATCGAGCCTCGGAGGTGGGGGCTGGGGAAAAACCCGCTTGGGCAATCAAGCTCTTTCAAGCAAGCCCAGCTCCGTGGCTTCCCAATTCTGGCTGTCCAGCCTAGATAATCGATTCCTAGCGTTGGAAGGCGAAATCCTACAGGTCATCTAGTCCACCCCACCCACTGGCCACGGGGATCTGCCACCCTGTTAAATGGCTACTTCGTTTTGTTTCAACGGCTGGTAGAGCTTGGCTGCAGATCCATGGGAGTTAGGCTTAGAGCCAGTGGTGGGAATCTACCGGTTTGGACTGGTTCGGGCGAACCGTTTGCTCCGAATTTCAGCTGTGAGCGAACCGATTCTCTCTTTCTTTGAAAGAAAGCCCCTGTGTTATACTTATCTATATTTCTGCTTCTGAAGCAGGAGTGAAATGCTCCCAGTTCGGACCGGATCGCCTGATCTGGTAGCGATGGCGGCGGGTGGTTCGTAGAACCAGTAGCAAAAATCCCTACGCCCCACCACCGTGCTCAGCTGAGTCGCACGATCATCAGAGGCTTTTTTTTTTTTTTTACTTTTAAAAGCATTTTTTTCTACAACCTCTTCCGACGAAAAAATGCTTTTAAAAGTAAAAAAAAAAAAAAAGCCTCTGATGATCGCGCGGCTCAGCTGGGATCCTCAGAGGCTTTTGAAAACATTTTTTTCTGCAACCTCTTGGCCGAAGAGGTGGCAAAAAAAAATGCTTTGAAAAGTCTCTGACAATCCCAGCTGAGTTGCCTGATCGCCAGAGGCTTTTCAACGCATTAGAAAAAATGCTTTGAAAAGTTTAAAAAAAAAAAAAAAGTTGGCCATGCCCACCCAGTCACATTACCCCCACCACCACCAAGCCACGCCCACAGAACTGGTAATAACACATTTTACATTTCATCCCTGTTCTGAAGCCCAGCTGATCGAGGCGGAAGAGTGGATTGCCGCTCCTCAGCTGTTTTCCTTGCTCTCAGCAATGCGGAAGTTCAATTTTTTGCAAAGTGTGCACGCGCGTATAGCGAACCGGGTGTTAAATCTGTAGGATCCCACCACTGCTTAGAGCGCCCCTTTGGAAGAAAAGCAGAGGGGAAACCTGAGCCAATTTTACAGACAGGATGTAAATCTTGTATTACCTGTAAGAGTCAGGGGTTTTGTCGGGTGAGATGACAGCTTAAACGGCTGAAGAGTCTGTGACAGTTTTCGCCTCACGGAGTTTGGCAGTCATCAGCTGGATGGAAAACTAAATTCATGGAGGTTGCAGTAGAGGCCAAGGGCGGGCAGGGGGAGGTAGCCTCCCCGAGGAGGAAGAGATGGGCTGCTGGGCTTCCTTCTCACCCAAGAAGGGACACGTGGAAAGATCCTGCCCGGCCTTAGAGTTCTTGGGATGGGGTGGGGATGGGGGAGGCCTGGCCTCACCTTGTGACCCTGTGCTCCTGCAGGGACCTCCGAAGAGGAAGAGTTTGCGGCTGCGCTGTACCATTTCAACCATTCCTTGGTGACCTCTGATCTCCAGTCTCCGACCTTGCAGGTGAGTCTTGGCTCTCTAGCCAGGGAGGATCTGCCGGTTAAACTGCAAATTATTTAGGAATAATAATCAGGAAATCTCCATCGCGTTCTCATTTCGAGAGCGACAAGCTTCTCTGTTGTTGTGTTCAAAGGCAGATGCGTTTGGACATTTCCCTTTATTTAAACTCTGCCAGCGATCCAGTGATAAGTCTGTGTAGTTAAAACAAGGGGTCCCTGATCCTCTCTGAGCTTGATCGTTTTCCGACAGATGTTTCATGACCCAGACTAGGTAACATCATCAGGTGCTAGAAGGAAGTGGGATTTGCAGGGAGGAGGAGAAGGAGAAGGGAGTGGAGGTTGAGGAGGAGGACTGTGAGGTCCTTGGTGCTCGCTGAGCTTCGTGCTTTTCTGGCAGACGTTTCATGACCCAAACTAGGTACCATCATCAGTGCTAGAAAGGACAATATGTAACTCCCCACTCTTTTTTTAAACACCTGATAATGTTACCTAGTTGAGGCATAAAACATCTGCAAGGAAACAACCAAGCTCAGAGGGCACCAGGGACCCCTCGTTTCAACCCATTTCAATATTCTCCTTTATTGTAGTTAACGAAGGGAGCGGTGCGTTGGCCCAAAGGTGGAGCTCTCGCCTCACAATCGGGGAGGCTATGAGTTCGATCCTAGGTAGAAGCAGATATTTCTCTCTCTCTGAGCAATGAGAATATCTGCTGAACAAAACTCCTCATTGGCGACAGGAAGGGCATCCGGCCATTAAAACACTGCTAGCTCCAGGCGGTTGCCCAGACTCCACCCCGCAAGGGATTATGGGGTTGTTAAAAGAAGATGATGATGATTGTAGTTAAACAAGGTTCAAATAGTTATAGGAGGCCGCACTTTTTTTTTTAAGTATATCATTTGGATGGGGAGGAACAGGTTCCGACTCAACCCCTCCAAGACTGAGTGGCTGTGGCTGCCGGCATCCCGATATAGTCAGCTGGTGCCATCGCTGGCTATTGGGGGCGAGACATTGGCCCCCACGGAGGGGGTGCGTAACTTGGGTGTCCTCCTGGATGCACGGCTGTCTTTAGAAGAGCATATGACGGCCGTGGCCAGGGGGGCTTTCTATCAGGTTTGCCTGATACGCCAGTTGCGCCCCTTTCTGGATCGGGACTCCCTATGCACGGTCACTCATGCCCTCGTTACTTCCCGCCTGGACTACTGCAACGCTCTCTACATGGGGCTCCCCTTGAGGAGCACTCGGAGGCTCCAACTTGTCCAGAATGCGGCCGCGCGGGTGCTTATGGGAGCGACATGGCGCTCCCACGTGACACCTCTCCTGCGCGAGCTGCATTGGCTTCCAGTGGTCTTCCGGGTGCGCTTCAAGGTATTGGTTCTCATCTTCAAAGCGCTCCATGGCTTAGGGCCCGGTTATTTACGAGACCACCTTCTGCCACCGATAACCTCCCACCGGCCAATACGCTCCCACAGAGAGGGCCTCCTCAGGGTGCCATCAGTCAGGCAATGTCGGCTGGCGACCCCCCCCCGGGGAAGAGCCTTCTCTGTGGGGGCACCCGCCCTCTGGAATGAGCTACCCCCAGGGATACGACTGATCCCGGACCTCCGGACCTTCCGCCGGGCCCTGAAGAGTTTTTTATTTCAGGAAGCCGGGCTGGGTTAAAAATCTTTTAATTGGGGAATTTTATGAGTAAGGGGTTTTAAATTGGGGAAGCCATGGATTTAATTTCGTTTTAAAGTATTTTAATATTTGTATTGCGTGCTTTTAATTTTGGCTGTTCACCGCCCCGAGTCCTTCGGGAGAGGGGGCGGTATAAAAATTTAATAAATAAATAAATAAATAAATAAATTTGCGACTGACAGATCTACTCCCCTCCAGTCTTTCAACATATGCGATGGTTGTCTTTTGCCAGAATATTCTCCTGCAACAGCTGGGGGTGTCTCCTTTCTCCGAAGGGCCGTGGCCTCTCTACATCCACCCCCAGAGCTTGTCCGTGCTCTCCCGTTTTCTCCTCATCTGGCAGCATAAAGCCAGCACCCAGATGGACCCGGATGTCCCAGAGTGTCTGAATGTGTGGGAGAGGTAGGAGAAAGTCTGAGGATGCGCTGCATTCACACCAAATTCAGAATGTTTTCAGTCCAGTTGCGATGGATAATTGTTGCACAGTTGCTGTATTTTTTGGACTATAAGATGCACTCCCCCCCCCCCTGAAATGTGGGTGGAAATGTCTGTGTGTCTTATAGAGCAAATGTTGTCGAAGGCCCACCGGCCCCCCCTCTTCGGCCTCTGCTTCCCAGCAATTTGCCTCCTTGCAGCAAACAGCCTGGTCAGCTTCAGCACAGCCTGATTTAGCACAAGCAGCTGACTGGCGGTTGGATCAGCCTCCCGGAATACCACCGATAAGCTGTTCCAGGCTACGGGGATCTCCACCGCCCACCGCCACCGTCGCCGCCTCCATGCCCCCCATTTTTGCCCTCTGGGTGTCCCATTTTCCGCATGTCCCATTCGGCGGCAATAGGTGGAATGGAGCAGGCTGAAAATGGGGCACACAGAGGCCAAAAACGGGGCACGCAGAGGCCAAAAATGGGGTGTGTGGAGGTGGTGCTAGGGGGTGGCAATCCCCGCAGCCGGGAACAGCTGATAGGTGGTATTCCCGATCCAACCACCAAGCGGCTGCTCGTGCTAAATCAGACTGTGCTGAAGTTGACCAGGCTGTTTGCTAGGAGGCGGAGGCAGAATTTTTTTTTCTTGTTTTCCTCCCAAAAGTTAAGTGTGTCTTATAGTCCAGAGTGTCTTATAGTCTGAAAAATACGGTATATTTAAAATGGTATCCTGATTGCACAGATAACTCTTAAGGTGTAAGGGCTGTCTTTTACTGAATTTTTCCTTCCTTCCTTCCTTCCTTCCTTCCTTCCTTCCTTCCTTCCTTCCTTCCTTCCTTCCTTCCTTCTTCTCATTCCTCCCTCCCTCCCTTCTCCTTCCTTCCTTCCTTCTTGAATGTCTGTTTCCTCCCTTCTTCTCATTCCTCCCTCCCCCCTTCTCATTTCTTCCTTCCCTCCCTCCCTCCTTCCTTCTTCCCATTCCTTCCTCCCTCCCTCTCTCCTTCCCCCTTCCTTCTTCTCATTCCTCCCTCCCTTCTCCTTCCTTCCTTCTTGAATGTCTGTTTCCTCCCTCCTCCCTTCTTCTCATTCCTCCCTCCCCCTTTCTCATTTCTTCCTTTCCTCCCTCCTTCCTTCTTCCCATTCCTTCCTCCCTCCCTCCCTCCCTTCCTTCCTGAATCTTTCTGTCCCCTCCCCCCCTCCCTCCTCCCCTCCCTCCCAGGTTTGTGGGCACTTTGAAGCAAAACGCCCTGCAGGGGGTTCTTCCCGGCGACGCAGAGGACCTCAACGTGGAGCACCTCCAGCTCCTGCTGCTCATCTTCCACAGCTTCTCCGAAAAAGGCCGGCGGTCCATCCTGACCCTCTGCGTCCAGACCATCCTGGACGTGACAGCCAACCTGGACTCTCAGCTCCGATGCGTCCCTCTCCTGCTCGCCCGCCTTCTCTTGGTCTTCGACTACCTGCTTCACCAATACTCAAAGGCTCCCGTGTATTTATTTGAGCAGGTGTGTGGCGAATCCACGGGGGACAGGAGACGAGGGGAGAAAGCCCAACTCACACATCGGCTTGTCAATCCGGGTTTTCTTTGGGGGTCACAATCCATCCTTTGAGTGCTCTTTTAGGTACCTAGAGATAGCTTGAGCAAGGAAATAATCACCGCAGGCACCGAAGTTCAGACTGAAAAACTGGTTTCATTGGCTTGTTCCTGCTTTGTTTTTGTGCTTGGCTGGGCCCTCCCTGTTTTCAGACCCAAACCACGGAGGAAAAACATCCCAAAACGAATCAATAAGTTACAACTTCCTTGCTTTCCTCTCCCTCCCTCTCCCCCTCTCTCTTTCTTTTTTTTTTTGACCATTCAGATAAATCACAGTCAGTCAGTGTAGAAAAGCTAGTTTTCTTCTTTTGGAATGACCCAGGTGCCCCGTATTTATTTTCTTTTCTTTTCTTTTTTTTAATTTGATTTATATGCCGCCCTTCTCCGGAGACTCAGGGCGGCTTACAATGCGTTAAGCAATAGCCTTCATCCTTTTGTATATTTATACAAAGTCAGTTTATGGCCCCCACAAACTGGGTCCTCATTTAACCTACCTTAGAAAGGATGGAAGGCTGAGTCAACCTTGAGCCTGGTGAGATTCGAACTTGCAGTAATTGCAGGCAGCTGATGTTAATAACAGTGCTTTTAGTCTGCTGAGCCACCAGGCCATTTATTTTCTGTCGCCTCTTTGTGTTCTCTAGGTCCAGTACAACCTCTTAACTCCCCCCATCGTTTGGGCCGGCGTGAGCCAGGAGGGCAGCCGACCGACCTGTTCCCCACTTTATCACGGCTTCAAGGAAGTGGAAGAAAACTGGGCCAAGCACTGTCCCTCTGGTACGGAAGGGCTCCCGAGGAAGAACCGTAGAATTAGGTTCCTGAAACACCTTTGGAGGTCTCTCTCCAGAGACAGGGCCTAAAGCAGCGATCACCAGTTGGTGGTCCGTGGACCACTGGTGGTCTGCGAGAAAATTTGGGTGGTCTGCAGAAAAATTGTTTGCGTTTTTTATATTGCACTAACTCAGGGGTCCTCAAACTACGTTCCCTGGGACAGATACGTGCAATGAATGTTTGTGTTGCTGCAGAGAGTCTCCCCCTTCGGGGTCTTTTTGTGTGGGTCGGAGGGGGGCAGAAATTCCATTTTGGATTATGTTTCAGCCTCCTGGTGAGGGGCTTTGGGTGAGGGCTGGAGGGAAGTGTCACTGGTGGCGAAGAGCCGGAGGGCCTCGTTCCAGTGGGACTGCTTCATGGCCTGGAACTGGCTGATCATCTCAGCCCTCTGAGCCTCCAGGCATCGGCACCTGGCCTTGCATTCCCACAGATCTTCCCTCTGCTTGGAAAGCCTATGCTTGTAGTCCTCAGTGAGGTGCTTCTGCTGAGCTTCCTTCTCGGTCAGATCCAATTTGAACTGAGCCAGCTGTTTTGCCAACTCTTTCTCATGGTGGCTGCTTATCTCCAACAACTGCTTCCTGTTGGGGCCCTAAGGAGCCTGGGTGGGGAGGGAAGGAGTGGCTGGGAGGGGAGGGGCAAGCAGAGGCCAGCAAGGTGTCCCTTGACGTGAGTGACATCAAGTTGGCCATGACCACCTAGCCAAGCCCACCCAGCCGGTCATTAAGCAGATCATATTAGTGGTCCACAGGATTTAAAATTACAAATATAGTGGTCCCTGAGGTCCGAAAGGTTGGCGATCCCTGGCCTAAAGGACAGGTAGACAGCTGGGCCCCTGAGAATCCTCTCCCTTCCTTGAGAACCCAGGTGTAGAATTTAGCTCCCACCTGGCCCTTTGGAGAGGGGGAAGTTCCTAGCCCAAGGTGTCCAGGAAGGAGCAGGCTGGGCGTGATTAGTGGCCCCATGTGTGCGTGTGCGTGTATTCCTCTCAGAAATTTAAAACCTCGTACACGGCTTCTTTTTTTCACCAGACGCTGCCCCCCAGCCACGCTTCTACTGCATTCTCTCCCCGGAAGCATCTGAAGATGACTTGAATCGCCTCGATAGCACGGTAATGGCACTCTTCCTTTAAAACTCTTGCTTTCCTCCCTTCTGATCACACCCACACCGATGCCCCATTCATTCTCCGGGAAACGTTTGAGGTAGGGTTGGTCCCTGGAAAGGCTGCAAGGAGGTTGATTGCTTCACCCCGAGGATCTTCTTCGGGGGCAGGCTGGTGGATCCACCACAAAGCTGGTTGAGCCCTCTAGAGCAGGGGTCCCCAGCCCCCCATCCGTGGACCGACACTGGGCTATGGCATGCCAGAAACTGGTCCGTGCAAACAGCCCATCCATGGGCTGCAGGCAGTATGTGAAACCATGCCCCCTCCGGTCCGCAGAAAAACCTCTCTCCTGTTCTGACCTAGGCTTCCCCAAAAACCATGAAGCAGATTCATGGTCCCGACAAAACCCCTTTTATTAGTTTAGTTTAGTTAGTTTAGTTTATTTGATTTGTATACCGCCCTACTCCCGAAGGACTCAGGGCGGTGAACAGCCACAAGATAAAAACACATAAATACAAAATTTAAAAACAGAATAAAACTGAATTAAAGAATTTGGCCGAAGACAGATTTAAAAACACCCTAATAAATTAAAAACAAATTAAAATTTGCGTTTTAAAAGGGAAAAAGGGAAAAATTAGGCCAGGCCAGCCTGATGGAATAAAAAGGTTTTAAGAGCGCAGCGGAAGGTGCGTAGATCCGGGATCCTCCGTATCTCCAGGGGGAGCTCGTTCCGGATAGTAGGTGCCCCCACAGAAAAGGCTCTTCCCCTGGGGGCCGCCAGTCGACATTGTTTGGCCGACGGCACCCGGAGGAGCCCCTCTCTATGAGAGCGTACCGGCCGGTGGGAGGCTACTGGTGGCAGCAGGCGGTCCCGTAGATAACCAGATCCTAAGCCATGGAGCACTCTAAAGGTGGTAACCAAGACTTTGAAGCGCACATGGAAGACCACCGGGAGCCAGTGCAGCTCGCGCAGGAGAGGTGTCACACGGGAGCGCCATGTCGCTCCCATAACCACCTGCGCGGCCGCACTCTGCGCCAGTTGGAGCCTCCGGGTGCTCCTCAAGGGGAGCCCCATGTAGAGAGCGTTGCAGTAGTCCAGGCGGGAAATGACGAGGGCATGAGTGACCGTGCGTAACGAGTCCCGATTCAGGAAAAGGGACGCTTTCCTTTATTGTTATTAAACAAACAGTGAATTCCTCTCATTCACCTTCAGCAAAGGCCTGGCCAACAGTCTTTCAAAGGTGAATTTATGACCACAGACCTTATCCAGCTTGGAAAGCTGCCATGTAAATATTTTCCGAACGCAAGGAAAGACTTGGCACAGAGTTCCTGAGATTCAAAAACAGATCTTCACACTCCTGAACTGACCGACCAGATTGTTTCCTGCAAAAGCCCACTCCCCTTTCGCTCCTCTTTTATTCCCTCTGGGAGGGGCCCTTCATCGTCCACCTGTGACCTTACTCCCAAGTCGCCCCTTGTTCTTCAGCTGTTCCCTTCGTCTGGCAACTCTGCGCACGCGCACTCCAGCTGTTCCTCTGCCTCACTGATAATCCGACTGCAAAGGCAGCTGATAACTGTCAGACGGCCCTGGCCCCCTCTCTGCCTCCGACGCAGAGCCCTCATCAGAGCCCTCCCCAGATTCCAGGACTGGCCCAGGTTCCTCCCCAACCTCCTCACTCTCCGAATCGGCTACCAACTCTGCTGGCGGGCCACATCTCCATGGAACCAGTCCCTGGTGCCCCAAAGGCTGGGGGGGCCACTGCTCTAGAGTTTCCTGTGGGAAGATCAGATCAGGCAGGCGTGCAGTCCCGTGTGCCAAAGTTGGACTGGGTGCCACGTGCTAAGCTGGCAAATTGTCCTGGACTGCCACTCACTGTCCCTTGGCGAATTCATGCCTCCGCCTTCTCCTTTTGTCAGGAAAAAAAAAAAGCAACGGGACTTTCTCCTGATTGGAGAACCATTTTGTCTGAAAAGGGATAGTTTTTTTTTCCTGCTTGAGCAAGGGGGGGGGGTGGACTAGAAGACCTCCCAGGTCCCTTCCAACTCTGTTATTCTGCTCTTTTCTGAATTCTGCGGAGGTTTTGCCCTTGAAGGGTTGAAGTGGGTGGGGGAGCAAAGGCAGCGAGAACCCCCAATTCTGCTTTGGGGCGCTTCTGGGAGGCCCGTACAGGTAGTCCTCAACGTAAAATCATTTAGTGACCATTCGAAGTCAGGAAAAAAAGTGACTTATGACCGGTTTTCACACTTCCAACCATTGCGGGGTCATATCAGAATTCGGGAGCCCTTGATAACTGGCATGTATTTATAATCTAATTGTTATCTAATTCTGGGTTTTATTTAATTGACCAAACTAAGTAATAATTTTAATTAGCAATTTTATGATGTTTGTGTGTCTATATTTTTCTTGACTGTACACCGCCTTGAGTCCTACGGGAGAAAGGCGGTATAGAAATATAATATAATATAATATAATATAATATAAATATAATATAATATAATATAATATAATATAATATAATATAATATAATAAAATATAATATAATATAATATAATATATAATATAATATAATATAATATAATATAATATAATATAATAAATAATCGTCACAGCCTTCCAGCGTCCCCTGATTACCATTTGTAACCTTTCCAGCCAGCGTTCAACGAGCAAAGTCAATAGGGGGAAGCTGCATTTGCTTAATGACCACACGATTCACTTAACAGCCGCAGTGATTCTCTTAACAACCGGGGCCAAACCTCCCCACCCCCTCACTTTAACAGCCGCCTTGCTTAGCAGTGTGGATTTTGGGTTCAATTAAGTTTGTAAGCCAAGGTCGTTCAGTGCTTGCCACGTGGCTAGGGTTTAATCCACTATATCTCTGTTCCAGAGAGAGTGGTGCAGTGGCCTAGAGGTGGAGCTCTCACCTCACAATCAGGAGGGCTGTGAGTTCGATCGTAGGTAGAGGCAGATATTTTTTCTCTCTGGGCACAGTGAGCATATACCTGCTGGACAAAACTCAGCACTGGCAACAAGAAGGGCATCCGGCCAGTAAACACTCCCTGCTAGCTCTATTCAGTTGTCCAGACTCCACCCTGCAAGGGATGATGGGGTTGTTAAATGATGATGATGATGATGATCTCTGCTTCCAGAGGCCCCCACCTCCCCACCCCCACCCCAAGTTAGAGCTGTAGCTCTGTATTTCTCTGGCAAGCTGCCTTTCCAGTGAGGAGAGAGAGGGATGGTCTGGTTCAGTGATGGCTAACTTTTTGCCATCGTGTGCCAGGAGCGGGGGGTGGGGGTTGGTTGTGCATGTGCCCACACCCATAATACTATGCACTCTGCCCCTGCACATGCGCGCGTGACCCCTTCCCCTGCTCCCCCTGCTTCTGGCACAGAAGGCCCGTTTTTTGCTCTTCCAAGCCTCCAGAGCCTTTCTAGGAGCCTGGGGAGGGTGAAAACGGCCTCCCTCTCCCCCCCCCCCGGAGGCCCTCCAGAGGCCGGAACGGCCCATTTGCCAACTTCCGGTGGGACCGGAAGGCCCATTTTTTGCTCTCCCCAGGCTGCAGAGCCTTTCTAGGTCCCACCAGAAGTTGGCAAACGGGCCATTTCTGGCCTCCGGGGTCGGGGGGGAGGCTGTTTTCGCCCTCCCCAGACTCCTAGAAAGGCTCTGGAGGCTGGGGAGAGAGAAAAACGCAAGATCTCCAACCTCCGTGTGTTTCGCTGTGCCCTTAAGACCCTGCTGTTCCGCCAGGCAGGGCTATCTATGTAAATGATTTTAAATTGGGTGTTTTACATTTTGGGTTTTAAATTCAGGCCGAAATTGTTTTAATACTTTTAACTATTTTAAAACTGTTGTTTGTACTGTACTTCGTGTTTTTAATTGGCTGTACACTGCCCCGAGTCCTTCGGGAGAAGGGCAGTATATAAATTAAATTATAAAGGAGGTTTTTTCATCAGGTTCGCCTGATCCGCCAGTTGCGTCCCTTTCTAGATCGGGACTCCTTACGCACGGTCACTCATGCCCTCGTCACCTCCTGTCTGGACTATTGTAACGCTCTCTACATGGGGCTCCCCTTGAGGAGCACTTGGAGGCTCCAACTGGCACAGAGTGCGTCCGCGCGGGTGGTAACGGGAACAACGTGGCGCTCCCATGTAACATCTCCTGCGTGAGCTGCACTGGCTCCCGGTGGTCTTCCGAGTGCGCTTCAAGGTTTTGGTTATCACCTTTAGAGTGCTCCATGGCTCAGGACCTGGGTACTTGCGGACCGCCTACTACCACCAATAGCCTCCCACCGACCGGTACGCTCCCATAGAGAGGGGCTCCTCCGGGTGCCGTCAGCCAAACAATGCCGACTGGCGGCCCCCAGGGGGAGAGCCTTCTCTGTGGGGGCATCTACTATCTGGAACGAGCTCCCCCCGGAGATACGGAGGATCCCGGATCTGCGCACCTTCCGTTGCGCGCTCAAGACTTTTATTTCATCAAGCTGGCCTGACCTAAGTCTTTCCCCTTTTTAAATGGAAATTTTAAATTTGGTTTTAAATTATTGGGGTTTTAAATTTGTTCAGCCAAATTATTTAATTTGTTTTATTTTATTTTATTCTATGGCTGTTCACCACCCTGATTCCTTCGGGAGTAGGGCGGTATACAAATTCAATAAAATGAAATGAAATGAAAAACAAACAAACAAACAAACAAACAAACAAACAAATAAAGAATGGGCCCCCCCCCCCCCCACACCCCGAGGTCCTCCGGAGGCAGGAAACAGCCTGTTTCCCTACTTCTGGTGGGCCCAGAAGGCCCAAAAATCAGCTGCGCTTGCTGGAGCTGAACTCGCGTGCCCATTGATATGACTACACGTGCCACCTATGGCGTGGCATAGGCTCGCCATCACGGGTCTGGTTTATTCAGAGTTGAGCGGAACCCTGGGTCAGCAAAGGGAAAGGAACAATTCCTGAGCTTGTTCAGAAAGTGCCGTTTCCCCTTTTCAGGTGTGCGAAGTCTTGTTCTCCAAGGCCATGAAATACGACGAGCTCTACTGCGCCCTGGCTTCGCTGCTGGCTGCCGGCTCCCAGTTTGACACCCTCCGGCGGAAGGAGAACAAAAGCGTCACCGCCTTGGTGAGGAACAACTCCGTGGGGGGGGCCCTTGTGGGGCAGGGGCGAAACGTCTCTGGCTTCGGGTCCCACTGTCGGAAGGACCGGCTGCCTAGGCGGCTTGGCTCCATCTCTCTCTCTCTCGAGCAGGAGGCCTGCGCGCTTCAGTATTACTTCCTGATTCTTTGGCGGGTCTTGGGCCTCCTTCCCCCGTCCAAGAGCTACATGAATCAGCTGGCCATGAACAGCCCGGAGATGCGGGAATGCGACATCCTCCACACCCTGCGCTGGTCTTCCCGCCTCCACATCTCCTCCTATGTCAACTGGATCAAGGTAAAAGCGCCCCACTGGGCCGGGCAAGGGGGGGGGCTCAAAAATACAGGTTTTCAAGGGCTAATATGATGATGTATTTAGAAGCAGGGTGGATAAAAATCAATTATTTTTTTAAAAAAATAAAAAAAATCAGATTTTTTAAATTTAAATTGGATTTTTTTTATTTAGATCGGATTTTTTTTATTTTTATCGAATTTATTTTAATAAAAAACTTTTGGGGTAAAAATCTATCGTAATATAGTTTTCTATTTAAGATACATAAATAGTTTATTCAGCATGAAATGGAGTTTAGTTATGTAGCAGGAGGCTGTATATTCTGCAACACTGGGACTATCAGTGAGTCAACAGTGGGTCAAAGGAGTAGCAGAGATGACAGTTGCTCTTTAAAAATGATGATTTAAATCGAGTTGATTTAAATCAAACCTTTTTACTAGTGATTTAAATCAACTCGATTTAAATCAAATCCACCCTGTTTAGAAGAGGTGAAGATATGGATACTTAACTGAAATTGAAACTGAATAAACTATCAATAGAAATTAAGAACAAGAAGATGATTAAGAGATTAAAATAATGTTTTTGTCTGAAAAAGGTGCTGTGAAAAACAAACTCGAAGAAATATATTGTTTTTGCTAAAATGGTAAAACGATGAATAGGGAAATAAGAAATGATAAATTGGTCCCCCTTAGAACATAACCGACATTAAGAGACAAAGGTGAAATATCAAGCTGTAACAAAAGGAAAAAAAAATAGAAATTAAGGATGGAAATGACTATGTTTAAATTAAAGGGTTTCAATAGAAAAAAGGAAATAAGGGAAAACAAACTGATGATAATTTGCAAATGTGATTCTGAGAAATATATGTGATAAATGGAGAAATAAGGTAATGAAATAAGATTAAGATTGGAGGTCAGGGCAGATGACGATATTGATTATATATTAAATATTAAGCAGAGATGAAAAATAAAAAAGGGAAAAAAAGAATATTATGGCAGAAATTGAAATAAATAAATTATATTTGGGAAAAAAATTAAGAGGATGGGATTTTAAAATATACTTATGATATAAGCTGTATAAATTTTGACTCGGTCAATACTCTATTCAGAAAAAATGCATTGATTGTATGTTTGGTTTTTTAAAAAAATAAAAATTAAAAAAGAAAGAAAGAAAATACAGATGGTTTTCGACTTACAGCAGTTCGTTTAGTGCCCGAAGTTCCGACGGCCCTGAAAAAAAGGGACTGAGCACCCATTTTCACTTTACGACCTGATTTACGTCACCTGACTTACATTCAGATGTGCTTGTCCACTGACTCACATTTACGATGGGTCACAGTGGGTTCCCGGGGACCGCGTGGATCCTCTTTTGCGACCGTCTTGATGAGCCAAGCCAGATTCACATAACGCAACCGTGCGGCTAATTTAGCAACCCGCAGCGACTCGCTGAACAAACGTGGCGAGTAAAGTCATAAAAGGGGACAGGCAGGACTCGCTTAACAAATGTCTCAATTGGCAACATACAAATTCTGGGCTCAATTGTGGTCGTAAATCAGAGAATTACACGTATGCCCAGAGGTTGTAAAAGGCTGTTGGTAAATCAAGAGACGGGCAGGGCTGAGATTATTTTTCTCCAGATGGGACTTTTACCAGAATGTGGTTCCTCACACTCCGCCGTTCTCTTCCCTTCGACCCGTCTCGTCTCGTCTCGTCTCGTCTTTTCATTTCATTTTATTTTTAATCTGCTTTTTCTCGGACTTCCCCCTTAGGACCACCTCATCAAACAAGGGATGAAAACTGAGCACGCCTCTTCCCTGGTCGAGCTGACTTCGGCCAAATGCAGCTCCGTCAAGTACGACGTGGAGATCGCAGAGGAATATTTCGCCAGACAGGTGCGTTCAGGCCCAGGGAGTTGTTGAATAAATGACAACGTTTCCGCCTTCTTATTTCTTTTATTTACCACATGTGGCCTCCGCGGAGGCCACGCAGTTGCCGATAGACAATATTCTGTCTTCTGACCTGGGTAGAAAAAGCAGGATTTCATCTCAACAGAGCTGCGGTGATGCAGTGGTTAGAATGCAGCATTGCAGGCAAACTCTGCCCACTGCCAGCTTGTCCTTCTGAGGTCGGTAAAATGAGGACCAGATTTGGGGCAATTCAGCCAAGAAGTGCTGTTGCTAGCCTTCCTGTCCTCCCTCCTCCCAGTGGAGAATGAGCATTGCAGCAAACTCTGCCCACTCCAGCAGTTCGATCCTGATGGCTCAAGCTTGACTCAGGCTTTTGTCCTTCTGAGGTCGGTAAAATGAGGACCCAGATTTTTGGCAATTCAGATTTAAGTGCTGTTGCACCTTCCTTCCGCTTCACCTGCCTCCCAGTGGTTAGAATGCAGCATTGCAGGCAAACTCTGCCCACTGCCAGCAGTTCAATCCTGACCGGCTCAAGCTTGATCAGGCTTTTGTCCTTCTGAGGTCGGTAAAATGAGGACCCAGATTTTTGGGGGCAATTCAGCCAAGTTTTAGTGCTGTTGCTATCTTCCTTCCTTCCTTCCTTCTTCCTTCCTTCCTTCCTTCCCTCCTCCCTCCCTCCCTCCCTCCCTCAGTGGTTAGAATGCAGCATTCCCATGCCAGCAGTTCGATCCTGACCGGCTCAAGCTTGACTCAGGCTTTTGTCCTTTGAGGTCGGTATAATGAGGACCCAGATTTTGGGGGCAATTCAGCCAAGTTTTAAGTGCTGTTGCTATCTTCCTTCCTTCCTTCTTCCTTCCCTTCCTTCCTTCCCCTCCCTCCCTCCCTCCCTCCCTCCCTCCCTCCCTCCCTCCCGTGGTTAGAATGCAGCATTGCAGGCAAACTCTGCCACTGCTAGCAGTTCGATTCTGACCGGCTCAAACTTGACTCAGCCTTTTGTCCTTCGAAGTCGGTAAAATGAGGATCCAGATTGTTGGGGGGCAAGAGGCTAACTCTGTAAACCATTTAGAGAGGGCCGTAAAAGCAACTGTGGAGCGGTATATAAGTCTTAAGTGCTATTGCCGTTGTTAAAGTCACACAATAGCCGATGGAATGGTATCTCCCAGAGGAGTGCTTCCCAATCCATGGCAACCTGAAGAAGGGGTGGACTTCAACTCCCAGAATTCCCTAGCCAGCACAGCCACAGCCCATTCTGGGAGTTGAAGTCCACCCCTTCTTCAAGTTGCTAAGGTGTTGGGAAGCACTGCTCTAAGAACTGAGTTGTTGCAGAGCGAGGGATCGAGTCCCACCTTAGCCGCCAGGGGAACAATCCTGCCAGCGCCCCTCTTCTTCCCTTCCCAGATCTCCTCTTTCTGCGGGGTCGACTGCACCACCATCCTTCAGCTGCACGAGATCCCCAGCTTGCAGTCCATCTATACCTTGGACGCGGCCATTTCCAAAGTCCAGGTCTCGCTGGACGAGCACTTCTCCAAGCTGGCTGCCGAAACCGACCCCCACAAATCCTCGGAGATCACCAAGAACCTGCTGCCAGCCGCCCTGCAGCTGATCGATACCTACGCCACCTTCACCAGGTAGCTGGCACGCTCCGACGTCGGCCTCCCTTCGCCCTGGTCGTGGCAGTGTTCTGCCTGGCAGGGGTGGTGGAGTCTTAACCGTGTGTCTCTTGCCATAGATCTTACCTGCTTCAGAGCCTTTCCGAGGACAGCTCGGCAGAGAACAAACCCACCGAAGAGAAGCTGCAAGGATACGCTGCCGTGCTGGCCATTGGCTCCAGTCGCTGCAAATCCAATACTCTGGGTAGGTCGCTTTCTGCCTCAATTTGTTCAGTTTTTAATTTAAGAAAGATATAAATTATATTTGCCTATACCAGGGGTCAGCAACCTGCGGCTCCGGAGCCGCATGCAGCTCTTTGGGCCCTCTGCTGTGGCTCCCTGTCAGGTGATCCCACCACTGGCTGGCCCCACCCCTCGCCCTCCCCTCCCAGTCACTCCTCGCCTGGCCTGAGAAGGTAAGGGGGACAGTGGAGGATGGGAGAAGCAGCCAGGGCAGAGACAGAGAGAGATACAGAGAGAGAGGGGGTGAGAGGGAGGGAGGGGAGAGAGAGATGTCAAAAGGATTTTGTGGTTCCCGGTGTTTTTTAACAACCGGTTCTCTGCCCTAATGACCAGCTGGGTAGGCGTGGCTAGGGGGTCATGTGACTGGTAGAAGTGAGTGACATCACATTGGCCACGCCCACCCAGATTTTGTGACTCCCGGTGTTTTCTTTTCTGTGGGAAACGGGTCCAAATGGCTCTTTGGGTATTTCAGGTTGTAGACCCCGGCCTATACTATTGCTTTTTCATGACGCAAGAGAATTATAAACTGGAATAAGTAACAGGTAGACCTCAATTTACGACCACAACGGAGCCCGAAATTTATGTTGCTAAGTAAAAAAAATTGTTAAGCGAATTTGGCCCTGTTTTATGACTTTCCTTGCCTTGCAGTGGTCCTAAGGTAAGTGGGTAAGACATCCCCCGAAAATAAGACCTGGTGCTTCTTTTGGGGCCCAAAAGAAAACAAGACCGGGTCTCATTTTCGGGGGGAACATGGGTAACGGCAGTGGTCCACTTAACAACAGTGGCAAGACAGGTCGTAAAAGGGGACGAAGCTCCCTGAACCATCTCCTTGCTTAGCAACAGAAATTTGGGGGGGGGCTCAGTTGCAGTCGTAAGTCGAGGACTACCTGCGACTGGGAGGTGGCAGCATAGCTCAGCTTTAACTGCGCAGGGGGGAAAGCCTTTCAGCTGAGTGGATAAACTGGATCTGAGTTTGGCAGCCTGGATGCCGCTGGTTTGCAGTCCGGGTTTAGTTCTGAAAAGCCTTGGGCCCAACTTTTGGGGGAAAGCAAATAAGAGATGCCTCGGAGGGTCCCAGGATCGATGATCCCGATCCTACACAGTTGAGTGACGCTTGAACATTTTTGGGTCCTGGAGGGTAGGAATGAGCCATGCCAAATGTGATGACCTGGGGCGTGGCACAAAGGCAACACAGCCAGAGAATTAAGTATGAATCCCTTTATTAGTGCCAACTTTGCCCCCCCCCCAACGTCCCTTTTACTCTTCGGTCTGGAGAAAAACTCTCCCACAAAACTGTAACAGCCGTTGGCTGAAAATACTCCAGTCCAAGCATTATAAACAGAAAACTATAAATCCAACAAGGCAAGATAAGGTACGGTAATTAATCCTCCGGCAGGGCAAGCAAGATAAGGAGTTCCAGAAGTGAAGTAGTACGGCAGTAAATCAAACCATTTATTGCTGAGCACATTGTAAGCCACCCTGAGTCTTCGGAGAAGGGCGGCATATAAATCAAATTAAAAAAACAAAACAAAAACCAGTTGGGAGGATGTCAGGAACTCAGATAAAGCAATTAACACAACTCAGTCTTTGTTCCCGACAACCGCCCCTCCCATTTGCCTCTCCTTTAAACTCCATCCCCAGGTGTGCCTTGTGAATGGAATCGGAGCCCTTTCCTTCCTCGTAAGCCACGCAACTCACATTGTTCTCTTCTCCGTTCTTCCCTGCATGCCCTAGGATGAGAAGGGGATGGGTCTTGGTCTTCATCACCTTGTTCTACTCTCCCCTGCTCTGCCCAGCCTGACTTTGCCCTTCCCCAGTTTCCTCCACAGCCAATGGAGCCACTGTCTCGCTCTCTGTCAGCTATTCGTCGTCCCCCTCGGATTCAGACTCTGACGGGGGCACACGCCAAACCTCTCTGTCTCCTAGCTGCTGGTGGCCCTTTTTGTCCTCTGGGGTCCGTTGGGGCTGGAATTGGCAGCGGGCGGAGCTCCGCTGTTCTCCCAGCTTTCCTGACTCGATGGGCCTTTTGTTTTCTCACTGGGCAGGGCCGGTTCTGATCCAGAATTTGCCGTCCGCCGTCCAGTCGCTATGCGAATCCTGGAACAGCATTCATACCAACGAGTTCCCCAACATTGGGTCTTGGGTGAGTCTTGCCTTTTAAAAAAAAAGCCCTCTTTTGTTGATGGGTGTGGGGAGGAAGTGGTAGGTGGGCTTAGTCTCTTTCTTCTCCCTCCTCTTTCTGGGCTGGTCTTTCCTTCCCATGGTGGACTGTCCAGCCGGCTTCTTCTCTTCTGCCTTTTCTGTCCTTCGGCAGCTCAGACATATTTCTCTGTGGGCAATCTCTCCTGCTCTCTGCGAGGCTGCTGGGAGTCCCAGGACTCTTGACTTAAGCCATCTCTGAGCTTCTTTCCAGCTGGGTGGCAAGACTACAAAAGCCTTAACTGGAACATGTTGTGGCCCACCAGAGGTGGATCTGGCATCGGATTCAGACAGTGAGGAGGTTGGGGAAGAACATGGGCCAGTCCTGGAGTCTAGGGAAAACTCTGATGAGGGTTCTGCGTCGGAGGCAGAGAGGGGGCCAGGACCATATGCCAGTCAGACATCAGTGAGGCAGAGAAACAGCTGGAGCCTGTTCCCAGTGTGCGTATGCACAGAGCTGCCAGGAGAAGGGAGCAGCTAAAGAACAAGGGTCAACTCAGGAGTAAAGCCACAGGTGGATGGTGAATGGCCCCTCCCAGAGAGAATAAAAGAGGAGTGAAAGGGGAGTGGAGTTTGCAGGAGACAATTAGTTCGCTTAATTGATTTGTGACTCCTTGTCAAGTTTTGAAGGTATTGGCCTGGCAGTTCCCCATGCCAGATAAGGTCTGTGACTGTCAATTCTCCCTTGAAAGACTTTTGCTGGATGTGAATGAGAGGAATTCACAGTCACTTAATAAAAAGGGAGTTTTTGTCGGGACAAGGAGTCTGCTTCGTGCTTTTTGGGGAAGCCTAGGTCAGAACAGAACGTGACCCCCTCTGTCTGGCTTTTACAGCGCAACGCCTTTGCCAACGACACAATCCCGGCCGAGAGCTACATCAGCGCCGTTCAGGCCGCCCACCTGGGCACCCTGTGCAGTCAGAGCCTTCCCTTGGCGGCCTCGTTGAAGCACACCCTCCTCTCCTTGGTCAGACTCACCGGAGACCTTGTGGTGTAAGTCCTGTCCGGCCTGTCATCGTGAACTCACTTTGTATAGGTTCAAAAATACTCGATTTCATTGAGGGCCACATCAGGGTTGTGTTTGACCTTGGGGGTCAGGGTGGGTGTGGCTAGTTCTACGTCACTCATGTCGGGGGCGCCTGTGACGGCCCAAGTGCTCTGCCAGCGAAAACAGGCTCCTGAGCTCCATTTTTGGCTGTGACGGCTTCCTACAACCTTCTGCCAGCAAAAACAGAGCTCGGGAGGGCCGCTTTTGCTGGCAGAGGCACCTTTGCTTGTTTCCGGGGTGACCCCGCGGGCCAGATCTAAGTACCCCGCATGCCGGATCTGCTCTCTCCCCCCCCCTCCCCGGGGCCTTGAGTTTGACACTCCTGCTTTATCGAATACATCATATCGGTACTTAGAAAGGTGACTCTAGCTCTAAATTATCCCTGTGCTTAGGGATAGTTAAAAGAACGAGACAGTGATGGCTAACCTTTTTGCCATCGCGTGCCAAAAGCTGGGGGAGTGAGGGGTGCATGCCCACACCCATAATTCTATGCGCCTTGGCCCCCCACGCATACGCACGCAACCCCCCCCCATGTTCCCCCCGTTTTTGGCATGTGATGGCACGGTGGGCCCAGTAGGCCCGTTTTTTGCCCTCCCCAGGACAAAGCCTCCTAGAAGCTTTCTAGGAGCCTGGGGAGGGCAAAAACAGCCTTCCCCACCACCCTCTGGAGGCCAGTAACAGCCCGTTTGCCGACTTCCGGTGGGCCCAGAAGGCCCAAAAATCAGCTGGCCAGCACGCGCATGCATGCTGGAGCTCAGCTACGGCAACACTCGCGTGCCCACCAATATGTGCCACCTGTGGCATCAGTTCGCCATCACAGGAATGAGACCTCCCCACCCACCCCCTTCGCCTCTCAGGTCACATGGGCCAATCAGTCCAGGTATAGGTTCCCGTTCAACTTCCAACAGGTGTCCGTTGACACGACCTTGGTTCTCACGCCGGCTGGTCGATGTCACGGCTAGCCGGCTGAGGCCCCGCATTCCTGAGTTGCCTGCCCCATGTTCTTTCCCCCACTCCCCCTTGAATGGCCACCAAGAAACGAAGCAGAAGTAAGCATGGCTTCAGCTGAAGTCATTTTGCAGGGTTGACACAGCCTCTCCCCCACGCCCCGAGTCCTTGCTCGTGGTGGTGGAGGTGATGTTGCCAAGACTGTGTCTCCCTGCAGACAAATTTTGCCTCTCCTCTCTCTGGCTCCAGCTGGTCCGATGACCTGAACCCGCCCCAGGTGATCCGCACACTGCTGCCTCTCCTTCTGGAGACCAGCACAGAGAGCGTGGCCGAGATGAGCAGCAATTCCCTGGAGAGGATCCTGGGCCCGGCAGAGTCGGACGAGTTCCTCTCGCGGGTCTACGAGAAGCTGATCATGGGCTGCTACAACATTCTGGCCAATCACTCCGACCCGAACAGGTGAGCTTCTTTGCTTTTCCCCCCTACCTGAATATCTGTGGAGATTCTCAGTCATCCAGATCACGGTTGTCCCAAAGGTGCTTTTTTTTCCAAGAGGACTTTCTGGTTTTTCTCTGAGGAGGTTTCGCTCCTCATCCAAGAAGGTTCCTCAGTTCTGGGGAATGGAAGGATTCTTCAACTCTGAAAAGAAGCGAAACATCCTCAGAAAAAAACCAGAAAGTTTCCCACCTGAAGCGGCTTCAGATCGAGGCTATTCCAGGTCTGAGTTTACTCCCGACTTCCCGGAGAAACTTTTCCCAAGAACTTTTCCCGTCCTTGTCTCTTAGCGGCCTCGACGAAGCCATCTTGGAGGAATGTCTGCAACATCTGGAGAAACAGCTGGAGAGCAGCCAGGCCCGGAAAGCCATGGAGGATTTTTTTGCGGAGAGGTGAGTTGCGGGCAGTCCTCGACTTATGGACCACCATTTGAGCCCCAAATTTCTGTTGTTTAGGATGAGACCTTGGATAAGTGAGCTTTGCCCTGTTTTACTGACTTTCGTGCCTCCATTGTTAAGCGAATCGCTGCCGCCGATACGTTAGTAACCTGGTTGATAAAGTGAATCCAGCTTCCCCCTTGACTTTTGCTGGTCAGAAGGTCACATGATCTTGGGACACGTCGCAAATATGAACCAGTTGCCAAGCATCTGAATTTTGATCATGTGACCGTGGGGATGGCGCAAAGGTCGCAACTCTGAAAAACGGTCCCAAGTCATTTTTTCCCCCCCAGTGTCGTTGTAACTTCGAATGGTCACTAAGTGAACTGTTGTAAGTCAAGGACCACCTGCTCTTGTTCTTCCTGCTTTATCAGCGCTTCTGAAATGTTCCCTGCATTGTTTTTTTTTTTGTTTAAATAATATTTATTAAATTTCCAAAGATTAAAATACACAGTACAAAAAGAAATGTAATATACAAAAAAAGCAAGAAAAACACCCACCCACACAAAACAAAAAATATAAACAAACATATCAAAATTTCAATACTAATAACAACTTTTCTGCATCGGTATCTCTAACTCAGGGGTCTGCAACCTTAAAACACTCAAAGAGCCATTTGGACCTGTTTCCCAAAGAAAAGAAAACACCGGGAGCCACAAAACCCTTCCCGTGCCTGACTATTTCTTGAGCGGCCACAAAACTAGCATATGTAGTTGCATTAAACGTTCTGTTTTCTTCTGAAACCTTTCTTTTCCTGGATTTATCCATGGTTGGCCTAACCGGGGTTTGAAAAGCTCAATAATTCACGTGCCGGCGGGTGTCGCACATTGGCGGTTGTGACACCTATTTTGAGTGACGGAGAGCCACAGCAGAGGGGTGAAAGAGCCACATGTGGCTCCAGAGCCACAGGTTGCTGACCCCTGATTTAACCTGTTTACACAAATTCTACCTCTAAATATCTCTATCTTAAACCAGTGGTGAAATCCAAATTTTTTTACTACCGGTTCTGTGGGCGTGGCTTGGTTGGCATGGCAGGGGAAGGATTCTGCAAAATCTCCATTCCCTCCCCACTCCTGGGGGAAGGATACTGCGAAATCTCCATTCCTACTCCACTCTGGGGCCAGCCAGAGGTGGTATTTGCCGGTTCTCTGAACTACTCAAACTTTCTGCTACCGGTTCTCCAGAACCTGCTGGATTTCACCCCTATCTTAACTTACATCTTTATTTAAATTATCTTGATTTCTATTTACAATTCGATCTCATAACAAAAACATCCCTTAAATTTTATGTTTTACTCTCCAGCCAGGAATACCATTTATTCCATATTAAATAGCACTCGGTGTCCTCCCTCTCCTTCATTTCCATAGATAATCTGTCCATCTGTGCACATTCGTATATTTTTTTTTATTATGATTTGATCTGGAGGGGTGTCTGGTTGTTTCCAGTTTTGTGCTAATGCAGAAAAGTATGCAATATATCATATTACACATACTAACGGCAAGTAGAATTGTGATTGCATTGTTTTTTTTTAAATCACCGTATTTATATAATCCATGGCCACTTTAAGACCTGTGGCTGGCTGGGGAATTCTGGGAGTTGAAGTCCACAGGTCTTAAAGTCACCAAGATTGGACACTTATGACATAGTGTATCTGTCAGCACTTCAATCTGCATTTACTCTAGTGCTGACATAAGAAGGAGAAGCGGAGGCGTCTGGAAAGGGATGTTTGACTTTTCACCTACTTATTTTCCCTGGAGATAATATCCCCTATGGGATGGGAGGGGGGAAATTCCTTTGAGCTGGAGCAGTAGATTAGGGGTAGAGTGACTTGGAAGATGGCCAGTGAGTGCAGAGGAGTAGGGAACGGAAAGGGAGGGTTTTGGGTCTGGAAGTCAGTGTTGGCTGCGATGGAGTCGGAGTAGAATGTCGTGCTTAATAAATGGAAGTTTTTCATCAAAGACTTTGTTTGAAATGCAATTTATTTGAGACGACCTCGAAACCTGACAGAATCTTTTAAATGGATTTACCCCACTTTGGGGGCAGTTTAGAAATTGTGCTAGCTCGGGATGGGCACCCCAGGAGTGGGGGGGCAGGAGGGAAATCTTGTTTTTTCTAACCCCATCTTTATGAGTGACATGGCAGGTAGCCGGGGGAGGCGGCTATCGCAAACCTAAAACCCTTCCTCATGTTTTCTTCGCTTCTGGGTGTTTCCTCCCATCCAGTGGAGAGCTGGTCCAGATCATGATGGCAACCGCCAACGAGAACCTCTCGGCCAAATTCTGCAACCGGGTTCTGAAATTCTTCACCAAGCTCTTCCAGCTAAGTGAGTGCTTGATACCCATAAGGCAGGGCTGTCAAACTCAATTTCATGGAGGGCCACATCAAGGATGTGGTTGACCTGGGGGCCGGGGCGGGGCCAACTGAGTGGGCGTGGCCATCTTGACGCCACTCCCCAAACTGCTGGCGTGTTTCCTCTTCGCACTGGGTAGACAGGGCCAAAGCCACGCGGGCCAGCCACTTACATTTTCCAGGACAACCCCAAGGGCCGGATCTGACCACATTGTGGGCTAGATCCGGCCTGTGGGCCCTGTGTTTGACACCCCTGCCATAAGGGGTTCCACCTGGCACGGGAACAGGGTGGCAGCGGCTAAAGGGCAGTGGCAGAAGCTAAAGGGCAGTAGCAGCAAAGCTTTGGGCCCATGTAGGAAATGATCTTCTCCCTCCAAAAATAGAAGTGGTGTTTTTTTTTAAAAAAAAATACTGTGTTTCCCTGAAAATAAGACCGGGTCTTATATTAATTTTTACTCCAAAAGATGCATTAGGGCTTATTTTCTGGTTAGGTCTTATTTTTGAGGAAATACGGTACTAAATGCATCCATCTGGCTGACAATCTTAACTGGGGCTTATTTTGAGGGTGGGGCTTATATTACGAGCATCCTGAAAAATCATGCTAGGACTTATTTTCTGGTTGGGTCTTATTTTGGGGGGGGGAATACGGTACTAAATGCATCCATCTGGCTGACGATCTTAACTGGGGCTTATTTTGGGGATAGGGCTTACATTACAAGCATCCTGAAAAGTCATGCTAGGACTTATTTTAATATTTTATTTTCGGGGAAACTGAATTTGGTCTTTCCTGAACCTTGGCCTTTGGGACCCTGAGCTCTGCCAGCCTCAGAAGCCCTAGCAACGGCTGACTTTCCCCTCTCTCTGCCCTGTTTAGCCGAGAAGAGCCCAAACCCCAGCCTTCTGCGCTTGTGTGGCTCCTTGGCCCAGCTGGCGTGCGTGGAGCCTGCACGCCTCCAGGCGTGGTTGACCCGTATGACCACCTCTCCCCCCAAGGAGTCTGACCAGCTGGAGATGGTGCAGGAAAACCGACAACTGCTCCAACTCCTGACCACCTACATCGTGCGGGAGAACAGGTACGAACAGGCCCAGTCTCCCTTGGAGCTCCAACGGGGCTGGTGTTGTGGCCTGTCGGCGCTGGTCCCTCCAGCAACTAAATCGGAGGAGGAGGAGACGTGGGAGTTAGCGTCACCAGCAAGGCAATCTGAGAGCTCCGAGGGAGAAGAGGGAATGGAGCTGGCAGAGAGAGAGAGAGAGAGAGAGAGAGAGGCGGAACCTGGGCTGTCCATCAGCCCTCAGATGGAGAGTCAACAGCCCCCAGGTCTGGAGGTGGCTGATGAGGAAGAGGAGGAACAGCTGGGTCCAGTGCCCGACTGCAGATGTGCAGAAGGCAGAGGAGAGGAGAGGAGAGGAGAGGAGAGGAGAGGAGAGCAGTGGAAATCTATGGGCCGGTCCTTGGGATGGAAGAGCCACCGCTGCTAACGAAGCCCCACCCTAGCTCTGGGGATAAAAGGCAGGAGGTGGAGATGAATAGATGTGGCAGACAACTATTCATCTCTCTGCTGGATGGACTTGTTAGCCTGCGGTGAGAGAGAACCTTTTTTGCTCAGCTGCCGGCACTCCTAATTAAAGGAATCTTTGAGTTCACTTCAGGGGGTTTGTCATGTTTCAGGACCTGGGTCAGAACAGCTGGGACTGCAAGAGCCCACCCTTGCTTATTTGGGATGCCCCTGTTAAAACACGCCCCTTGGCCGCGCCGTGGGGTGTCTTACCTCCTTTTTTCCCCACTCCAGCCAAGTCGGCGAGGGAGCCTGCACTGTCCTCCTGAGTACCCTGATTCCCATGGCTACCGAGATGTTGGCAAATGGAGACGGGACCGGCTTTCCAGAGCTTATGGTGGTCATGGCGACCCTTGCCGGAGCCGGACAAGGAGCTGGTCACCTCCAGCTGCACAGTGCAGCGCTGGACTGGCTGGGGAGATGGTAAGGGGTGCCAGGAGAGCAGCTGATCGGAACATGGCTGTGCCGCGGATGCTGCTTGAGTGAGGGGAGGCAGCTGGCCAAGGAGGGCTTTCTCCTATTCTTTCGCTGGAAACTCTACCCGGGGGGGGGGGGGGGGGGAGAGGAAGGGTCTTGTGGTGTTCCAGCTCCTCAGAAGGGGCTGCTGCTTGGGGAAGGTCCCAGTTCAGGTTCTGGGGCTCCAGATGTTGAGGTGGAGCCTTGTTTCCCCCTTCAAGCCTCTCTCTCTTTTTCTTTTTCAGCAAGAAATATTTGTCTCAGAAGAATGTGATTGAGAAAATGAACGCCAGCGTCATGCACGGGAAGGTAAGGCCTCTACACAGAACGCAGCACCTTCGCAAGTAATCTTTGTATAAGCCAGTCTGGTGTCTTTTTTAGAAGCCTTACAGGCAGGCTTGGCTTTCATCCTGTCCATGGGTGACGTTTACAGGTGGTCCTCGACTTACAACCATTCGTTTAGTGACTGTTGGAAGTTACAACAATGACTTAGGACCCTACATATATATATATTTACACTCGCGACCCTTGCAGCATCCCCGTGATCGAACTCTGGACGCTTGGCAACTTGAGTCATATTTGTGACGAGCCCCAGGGTCACGGGATCCCCTTTTGCGACCTTCCGATGAGCAAAGTTGATGGGGAAGCCAGATTTATTTAACGTGCACATTGCTAACTGAACTGCTGTGATTCACTTAACAACTGGGGCAAAAAAGGTCATAAAATGATTCACTTAACAACTGCCTCGCTTAACAGCAGAAATGCTGGGCTCCATTGTGGTCCTAAGTCGAGTGGTGCAGTGGCCCAGAGGCGGAGCTCTCGCCTCACAATCGGGAGGCTGTGAGTTTGATCCTAGGTTGTTTTTTTTTTTTTTAATTTTGATTTATATGCTGCCCTTCTCCGAAGACTCAGGGCGGCTTACAATGTACTCAGCAATAGGTAGAGGCAGATATTTCTCTCTCTGGGAGCAATGAGAATATATCTGCTGAACACAAAACTCCGCATTGGCGACAGGAAGGGCATCCGGCCAATAAAACACTCAGCTCCATTCAGTTGCCCAGACTCCACCCTGCAGGGATTATGGCGTCGTTAAAAGAAGATAATTGTAGTCCTAAATCAAGGACTTAACCTGTACTCCCCTCACCCGTCTGTTGGTCTTTCTGCGCTTGTTAGGAAAGGCAGGTAAAGTCGCTTCCTGACCCTTCTCTTGCAGCACGTGACTATCCTGGAGTGCACCTGTCACATTGTCTCCTACCTGGCCGACGTCACCAATGCCCTGAGCCAGAGCAACAGCCAAGGCACCAGCCACCTCTCGGTTGACGGAGAAGAGCGGGCCATCGAAGTGGACTCCGACTGGGTGGAGGAACTGGCCGCGGAGGAGGAGGACTCACAGGCTGAAGACTCGGTAAGCAGGCCAGCAAACCCAGCAACCCTGTATTTTATACTACAAAATGCAAAAATGCAAAAGAAAATAGTGGGGAAGATAGGGGAGGGGAAAAGCGTAGGAGAAAGGGCAAAAAGAAAGAGACTTCCAATTCCATTCGGTGCAGTAGAATAAGATAATAATATCAAACCTCAGCTTTTTACTTTTACATAGTAATATAAACCAGCCATTTTGATAACAACAAACCTATCTCATCGGTAAAACCCAAAGCAAAGTTTCATTATTATTATTTTTTTTCACTTCGAGCACAAAGTCCAGAAGCGGTTTCCAAACAGAAACAAAATTAAATGGTGTTCTTTTCTTTAATCCAAGCAATCCATTTAACCATCTCTGCCACCTCCCATCAACTTTTGCAGCCATTCCTCCATTGTGGGAATCAAAATGTCCTTCCATTTTTGTGCATAAAGTACTGTATTTTTCAGAGTATAAAAAGCTCCGGAATATAAGACGCAGCTTAGTTTTTGGGGAGGAAAATAAGGGGGGGGGAATCTGCTTACCAGATATTCATCCGGCTAGCGTCCTTAGTCTGGTCGGCTTCAGCACATTAGTTTGCTGGTTTTGAGCGCTTTTTATCCCCTACATGGGGACAAAAAACAGCTTCTAAAGCACAGCTGATCTTTGGAGAGAGAAGCAATGAGAAAAGCAGGCAAAGCACGGAGATTGCTTCACTCACTAGTGCCTCGTTAGGGCTGAAAAACAGCTTTTAAAGCACAGCTGATCTTTGGAGAGAGAAGCAATGAAAAAGCAATAAAAAATTACATATTTTTAATGTATATTTACCATTAAATATTTTTGTGCAGCATTTTTGCATATATATTTTTGCACCTTTTGGTGCGGCTGTTGACAAAAATAGGATTGCCAACATGATCGCCGACATCCAATGACGGATACGGCACAAGAAGAAGAAGAAGTATTTTTGCATTGGAGTCAGGGAGGTGCCCTCACAGGGAGCTGTGTGTGATCCATTTAGTTGGATTTTCTGGCTGAAGATTTTGATAAGCTTTTGATAAGGGAGAGTTTCTCGTGCAAGATTGTTCTTTGTAGAATAACAGCAAAGAAACGTATTCTATCAATCATGTAAGGAGACTGAGGAAGCATCTGTTCTTTTATTGTTCAAAAAGGAGAAATTAAATAGCACATCAGGGAGAAAGGCAGTGGTGGGATGCTTTTTTTTTAAAAAAAAAATGATTTATATGCCGCCCTTCTCCGGAAACTCAGGGCAGCTTATAGTGCGTTAAGCAATAGCCTTCATACTTTTGTATATTTTATACAAAGTCAGCTTATTGCCCCCACAAACTGGGTCCTCATTTTACCTACCTTAGAAAGGATGGAAGGCTGAGTCAACTTTGAGCCTGGCAAGATTCGAACTTACTTTAATTGCAGACAGCTGGTGTTAAATTACAGTGCTTAGTCTGCAGAGCTATCCAGGCTCCAGTTTAACAACCGTGTTCGGTGAGCACGTGCTTTGCACGCACACACATGCTTTGCGCATGCGCGCTTAAGGCGCTTGCGCACAGCGCTGAAAAGGGAACATTTAGAAGCTCAGCTGCTTAACCTTCCAAGTCCGCAACAGTAAGTAGAACAGCAGTGGGTGTGGGGGGGGGGAATCAGCTGTGCTGCATGATTGAGATGAGCTACAAAGCAGGAAATAAAGGACAGGATAGAGCGGGGGCGGATGAGCGGGGCCAACAGATCGTCCGAGCTACCGGTTCGCTCGAACTGGCTGAATTCCACCTCTGAAGAAAGGCTGTAACACCTCTTTCTTCGTGACATGTCAGCGTGAAAGTTGTGAGGAACCATGGCTGTTAGCTTTGTTGGCAGGATGCCTGCCTTCGAAAGTCACTGTGGGGAGTACAGACTGCTGGGCCACATGGGCCAGGAATCTGAGGGCACTGCTTATATTCTTAGTTGTCTAGAATACAGGTAGTCCTTGACTTAGAACAGTTGATTTAGTCAACGGCACTGAAAAATGGGACTTATGACTCATTTTTTGCAGCATTCCCACAGTCACATGATCAAAAATTCAGTCACTTGGCCACTGGTTCGTAGTTATGACGGTTGCTGTATCCCAAGGTCACGTGATCCTCTTTTGCGGCCTTCTGACTTGCAAAGTCAAGGAGGTGGGGGGAAAGCCAGATTCACTCAACAACCGGGTTCCTACCTGATCAACTGCAGTGATTCACTTAACAACGGTTGGCAAGAAAGGTCATAAAATGGAGACCAAACTCACTTAACAAATGCCTGACTTAACAAAGAGAAATTTGGGGTTCTGTTGTGGTCGTGTGTTGAGGGCTACCCATAGAGGCATTTTTAAAGGAAGTGGGTTGTAACCACACACACACACACACACACACACACACACACACACACCTCTCGTCTAACTGTATCAGTTGTGAGTAGGTGTTGAAGGAAGCCATCCTGGGCAACTCTTACAAAAGCTGTTCACTTCTGTGCACAAATACAGGACGAAGACTCTCTCTGCAACAAACTTTGTACCTTTACCATCACGCAGAAGGAATTCATGAATCAGCACTGGTGAGCTTCCCCTGCTGCCTAACCCAGGGGTCCCCAACCCCCCCAGCCGGTCCACGGCAAGCCAGAAACCAGCCCACACAAACAAGCAAAGCCCCACCCTGTTCTGACCTAGGTTCCCCCAAACCATGAAGCAGACTCCTTGTCCCGACAAAAACCCCTTTTTATTAAGTTACTGTGAATTCTTCTCATTCACATCCAGCAAAAGTCTTTCAGGGGAGAATTTACAGTCACAGACCTTATCTGGCTTGGGGAACTGCCAGGCTGATACCTTCAAAACTTGGCAAGGAGTCTTGGAGAGTCACAAATCAATTAAGCGAACTAATTGTCTCCTGCAAACTCCACTCCCCTTTCGCTCCTCTTTTATTCCCTCTGGGAGGGACCATTCACCGTCCACCTGTGGCTTTACTCCCAAGTCGACCCTTATTCTTTAGCTGTTCCCTTCGTCTGGCAACTCTGCACATGCACACACTGGGAACAGGCTCCAGCTGTTCCTCTGCCTCACTGATGTCTGACTCCGAAGGCAGCTGATAATTGTCAGACGGCCCTGGCCCCCTCTCTGCCTCTGATGCAGAGCCCTCATCAGAGCCTTCCCCAGACTCCAGGACTGGCCCATGTTCCTCCCCACCTCCTCACTGTCCAAATCTGCTGCCAGCTCTGCTGGCGGGCCACAACACATCCATGGGATGTAGGCTGCATGCAAAATCATGCTCCCTCCAACTTGCAGAAAAAATTCCCTCCGGTCCGTGGACAAACTGGTCCCTGGTGCCCAAAAATGATGCCCCCTCCCCGCTGGTCTAACTGACCCTGGGCTGTCTCTTATGTCTGCTTTATCACAAAGCGTTCATCTCTCATTTCCCTCCCTCACCCCCCTTCCGGCCTGGTCTCTGTTCCTACCTCGGCAGGTATCACTGCCACACCTGCAAAATGGTGGATGGTGTCGGCGTGTGCACCGTCTGCGCCAAGGTTTGCCACAAGGACCACGAGATTTCGTATGCGAAATACGGATCGTTCTTTTGTGACTGCGGAGCCAAGGAGGATGGCAGCTGCCTGGTAGGTTCTAGAAGTGAAATCCTGAGAAGTGTTCTGACCTAGGAATTCCCAAATCACGAAGCAGACTCCTTGTCTCGACAAAAACCCCTTTTTTATTAACTTACTGTGAATTCCTCTCATTCACATCCAGCAAAGTCTTTCAAGGGAGAATTTACTGTCACAGACCTTATCTGGCTTGGAGAGCTGCCAGGCCGATATCTTCAAAACTTGGCAAGGATTCTCGGAGAGTCACGAATCAATTAAGCAAACTAATTGTCTCCTGCAAACTCCCCTCCCCTTTCGCTCCTCTTTTATTTCATCTGGGAGGGGCACTTCAGTGTCCACCTGTGGTTTTACTCCTGAGTTGACCCTTGTTCCTTAGCTGTTCCCTTCTCCTGGCAGCTCTGTGCATGCGCACACTGGGAACAGGCTCCATCTGTTCTGCCTTACTGATGTCCGACTCCGAAGGCAGCTGATAACTGTCAGTCGGCCCTGGCCCCCTCTCTGCCTCCGACGCAGAGTTCTCATAAATTCCTCCCCAATCTCCTCGCTGTCTGAGTCTGCCACCAGCTCCGCTGGCCGCTGGTGGGCCACAAGAAGAAGAAGGGGGGGGATAGGCACTCTGGACGAAGTCAGCTGTGGTTATCCTGCTTCCTGCCAAACGGCTGAGGGTCCCTGCACTGTGTTTCTTCCCCCTCCAGGCCCTGGTGAAGAGGACTCCCAGCAGCGGCATGAGCTCCACCATGAAGGAGTCGGCCTTCCAGAGCGAGCCTCGCGTCTCGGAGAGCGTCCGCCATTCCAGCACCTCGCCCACCGACAAGTCCAAGTCCTCCACCAGCGATGGCCGAGGGAGCGACGAAGACAAGCCCAAGAAGAGCAGCCTCTGCAGGAACGTAGAAGGTTGTCGGGAGCAGTTGCAGGCCCAGGTTTGGCTTCGTGCGTGTGCGGGAGACAATCGGGGCACCAGGGACCTCTCCCTAGTTGGGGGCAAGGCTTCTCAGCCCCTCCCTGTCCTTGCCTCCCCCAAGGCCAACTTCTCCTTCGCCTCTTTGGTCCTCGACCTGCTCAACTTCCTGATGGAGGCCATCCAGATCAACTTCCAGCAAGCCTCGGCGATGGGCAGCAGCAGCCGCGCCCAGCAGGCGTTGAACCAGCTGCACACCTTGGACAAGACGGTGGAAATGACCGACCAGTTGATGGTGAGATGGGCAGAAACTCCCCAGCACAGATTGGGAGAGTGTGGGGGGGTCTAGTTCAAGGGGTCAGCCTGCAGAAAAGCCCCCTTCATTCCATCCCTTCAGAGCTAGGCCTCTTGTCTGGACTCCGATCCAGGCAGTGGCATCTTTCAGGAGTCAATATTCCAGGCTAATATTGTCCCATAAGATTATTCCAGGTTAATATTCCAGGCTGTATCACGGCATCTCCCTTTCCTGCTTGCGCTCTGCCCTCCAGGTGCCGACTCTGGGCTCTCAGGAAGGCGCCTTTGAGAACGTCCGGATGAACTACAGCGGAGACCAAGGCCAGACCATCCGGCAGCTGATCAGCGCCCACGTCCTGCGGCGGGTGGCCATGTGCGTGCTTTCCTCGCCTCACGGACGGCGCCAGCACCTGGCAGTCAGCCACGAGAAGGGCAAGGTGAGAGATGGCAGAGGATCTGCCCCAGAAGCAGGCAGAGGACCTCCGCAGAATCTAAAACCTCTGGCCATCTCCAGCGTAGAAGGTCAAAGAGATTTCTGATCCAGTAGTTTAACCAAGAGAGGCTATTAACCAGCACCAAGTCCATAATAGTAATAGCACTTAGACTTATATACCACTTCACAGTGCTTCACAGCCCTCTCTAAGCAGTTGACAGAGTCAGCCTCTTGCCCTCAACAATCTGGGTCCTCATTTTACCGACCTTGGAAGGAGGGAAGGCTGAGTCAACCTTGAGCCCGATCCGGATCGAACTGCTGGCTGTGGGCAGTTAGCCTGCAATGCTGCATTCTAACCAGTGGGAGGGAGGGAGGGAAAGAGGGAGGGAGGGAGGAAGGAAGGAAGCTATAGCACTTAGACTTATATACTGCTTCACAGTGCTTTACAGCCCTCTCTAAGCGGTTTACAAAGTCAGCCTCTTGCCCCCAACAATCTGGGTCCTCATTTTACCCACCTCGGAAGGATGGAAGGCTGAGTCAACCTTGAGCCTGGTGAGATTTGAACTGCCAAATTGCTGGCAGCCAGCAGTCAGCAGAAGTAGCCTGCAGTACTGCACTCTAACCACTGCGCCACCACGGCTCATAAAATACAGAACGGCAATGGAAAATTTCCACTTGATAGCCATCAAAGTGAGCCAAGCACCGTTTGGACGAATCTTCTCTTCTTTGCAGCTGGGAGGCAGAGATGGCTGCGGACGTCTTGGGTGGAAACCAGGATTCGGGGGAGCTTCCAATTTTAATTTTTCTCCCCCTTTCTTGGGAGAAAGTAGTAATTCTCTACCACCATGTCCATGTTCTTGTTGCCCTCACAGATCACCGTGCTGCAGCTCTCTGCGCTGCTGAAGCAAGCTGATTCCAGCAAGAGGAAGTTGACGCTGACCCGCCTGGCCTCCGCACCCGTCCCCTTCACGGTCCTGAGCTTGACCGGGAATCCCTGCAAGGAGGACTATCTGGCTGTTTGTGGCTTGAAGGTAGACACACACACACACACACACACACACACACACACACACACACACACACACCAGGCTGGCTGTTGACTCCCTGCTCCTCTGCAAAGAGGTGTTGTGACCTAGTCTTACTGAGTCATTACAAGACACAATTAGTCCCAAATAAACCTATTTTATTGTAACAGCTGAGAATTACGTTCATTCCCAACTGAGTCCCAATTAGTTGCAACAAAAGTCCTTCGGAAGAAGTCCTTTGGGACAATCACCAACCTTTATTTTCTTTGACACCCTGCCAAAGGCCTTACCTGGCAAAGCCCCATGAAGTTCAGAAACAAACAGGAGATGCCGACTGGAAACAGAGTTAGCAACGTTGCTTTCCTGCAAAAGGCCCCAAGTGCCTTTGTTTCTCTTTTAAGCCTTATGGGAGGGGCCAATCATCTCCTGGCCTTATTCCCGACTTGTCCCTTTTGCTTTAGCTGCTCTTGCCTTCTTGCAGCTCTGCGCATGGGTGCGCTTGGAACAGGCTCCTCCTGTTCCTCTCCGCTGTCCGACTCTGGGAGCTTCGGAGTCCGCGCATCACTCCCAGATGGCCCTGGGCCCATCTCTGCCTCCGACGCAGAGCTCTCGTCTGGGCTTTCCCCAGACTTCAGGACTGGCCCATGATCCTCCCCAGCCTCCTCACTGTCCGACTCTGCTGCCAGTTCCGCAGGCTGCTGGTGGACCACAACAGGAGGGTGCTGGCTGGCTGGCTGGCTGGCTGTGGAAGAGGGATGGCCTCCCTTTCTACAGCTAGTCCTTGACTTACAACAGCTCGTTTAGTGACCATTCGAAATTACAAAGCCCTGAAAAAAGTGGCTTATCATCACCATGTTTCACACTTAGACTGTTGCAGCATCCCTGTGATCACGTGATCAAAATTTGGAAGCTTTGGCAACTGGTTCAGATTTACAACAGATGCAGTGTCCTGGGGTCATGTAATTCCCCTTTTGCAACCTTCTTTTTTTGGTGGGGGGGGGGTTGTACCCGGCTTCTACAAGTGCCGTTTTGGACAGGGCCCCTTTCGGAGTCCTGCCCTGGACAAACACAGGGCCAGCATCAACTGCATCTTGAGGACCCCAATCCCCAAGAGAGGCAGCTGTCTGGATTCGAAGGGCAATGACCGTCATTAAACCTCCCCCCCGAGGAATCCTCAGGCAGCGCGGGTGACAGCCAATGCCCTCCGATCCTGCCAACCCTGTATCTGACCTGCCGCTTTCACAGCTGCCGTCTCGTCACACCGACGAGGCGGGCCTAGAGACCCGGCGGCCTCTGGTGTGGCGTGACGCTGGCTGGGGTCCCTCCGAGGTCCAGTCATGAACCCCCGCAATAGAGAGGCTGGAATGCCTGTCTACGCGGGGTGACCAGTACCTCATCGGTACCCGTCCTTTTTGCGACCTTCTGACAAGCAAAGTCAATGGGGAAGCCATATCCGCTTAACGAATCTTATTCGTAACTTTACAGCCGCAGTGATTCGCTTAACGACTGGGGCAAGGAAGGTGGTAAAATGGGGCAAAACTCACTTAACAACTGCCGTTTAGCAACGGAAAAAATTGGCTAGGACTACCTGTAGCCCTTCGCTGCCTCTTCCAGTGGGAGCTTGGTGCAGGCACCGCTTGGATTTCACCGGCTGGCGTCCTTCTCTTCTGCACAAGTCCACCTGCTGAGCACTTGTCCCTCTCCCAAACCCAACCTGGAATCACGCCTTGCCTCCATCCACACTTGTGATGTGAAGCCAAGCTTTGCAGGTTATAAACTGTGTGTCAGACCAGCCCCAATCCGATCCCTTAGGAAAGAAAAACCTTTGACTCCATTTGGTTTAAAGCAAAGGTTTTTGTTTTTTTTAACTAAGGATGTTGGTTGCAGTAAAGTCAAGCCAGCTCTGAAATCTCCTGTGCTTGCTAGATACAAAAATAAGGTGTAGCTTTGCTCCCAAGCCCATCCTACCCCCCCCCCCGTCCCCAGTCCAGTTCTTTTCTACCCAACCAGAGCTCACCAAGATGTTTTGAGAACTCTGAGGTGTTGGGGGGTAATCCGTATATTTCTCAGGGTGTCTGGCCGTGGGATACTGGTACAAACGGGATCCGGTTGCTCTGATTCTTCTAACCTATCATTCCCCCCTCCCACTTTTCTATGACATATACATAAAACTTTATTGCCCTTTCATCCTTCCCCCTTTTGTCCTCCCCCCCCTCCCTCATTCTTTTTATGGCAGTATATGCCTTTGAGCCCTCCAAGCCGAACCAGGCAGATCTGACACTATGGTTCGTGATCACGATGGTGTGCTCGACAAAACATAGAAAACCATCAGTCTTTCTCTCTCTCAGCCATGCGCTTGCCTGTACGTGTTTCTCTGTTAACTCCTCTTCTCTTGCCCCTTTCCAGGACTGCCACGTCCTCACATTCAGCAGTTCGGGCTCCGTCTCGGATCACTTGGTGCTCCACCCTCAGCTTGCCACGGGCAATTTCATCATCAAGGCAGTCTGGCTTCCGGGATCCCAGACGGAACTGGCCATCGTCACTGCCGACTTTGTCAAGGTAGGGTTGAGTGGAGGCCGACTAGACTCCTCCTGTCCCTGTCCCTCTGCTCTGATTTCTGTCAGACCTGCCTCAATCGGATCCCTGAAGAAAGAAAGACCCTCAACTCCCTTTGGATGAAGTGATAGGCTCTTTTACTAAAAGACGCTGGTAGCAGTGAAGTCAGGCTAGAACTAAATCTCCCGTGTGAAAGCATACAAGCTTTCCCTGTCAATCCGTTGCTCCTCCCCTACCCCTTGACCAGTCCAAAGCCATCCAATGGGCGCAGGTCTAGGTGTTTTGGGAACATTTAGTGTTTGGAGCAATTGACATTCCATTACCAGCTTCTCCAGCTTCTCAGTGTTCTTGAAGACTGGTATGAAGTGGTTCAAAGCATCCCTGATCTTCCTCTGCTGTCACTTCCTGTTTCCCAGCACTATCCTAGCACATTGTCCATTTGTCTCCTTGCTTCCCCCATTTCCTCCTCACTATTGATGGCAGGGTGCTGATGATGGAGGAAGATGCCAGAACCCTCTTTGGTGGCCAGGTGGGAGGCCATCTCTCTGGTCTTCCCTCCCCACCCCAAAGTCTTGCCTTTTCCTTCTGCTCGCACAGATCTACGACCTCTCGGTGGACGCCTTGAGCCCCACTTTCTACTTCCTGCTGCCCAGCTCCAAAATCCGGGACATCACTTTCCTCTTCAATGAAGAGAGCAAGAACATTGTGGTCATCATGTCCTCTGCGGGCTACATCTATCTGCAACTCATGGAGGAGGCCAGCAGCGCCCAGCACGGCCCTTTCTACGTCACCAACGTCCTCGAAGTCAACCACGAGGACCTGAAGGTATCCCGCCCTGCGTTCGGCCACCGGCGCTATCCAGAAACTCTCCCTCCCCATTTAGAAACAGGGTTTCCTTGATTCTCAGAAGCCACCTTTGTGTCAAAAGTGGTTTATATTTTGAAAAGGCAACTGGACAGATTTTGAGGAAAAATCCGAGGAAGTTTTGCTTCCTATCCTCTAAGCTTCATCGGTTTCTATAGGAAGCTGCGGGAGACGGAATGACCCTCCTTCCATCTCCCCACAGCTTCCTATAGAAACGGATGAAGCTTCCAGGATAGAAAGCGAAACATCTTGTTTTTCTTCAAAATTGCCTTTTCAAAATAAAACTACTTTTGATACAATTATGACCTTTATTGGTAATATGTGTTTGAATCTGTACGTTGATTTGGCCTATAGGCTAATCAATTGTGATAACCGAGGGCATGGCACAGAGATAACACAGGCAGTTGGCAGTTCAAACCGCCCCTTTATTGCTCCAAATTTCCCAAATGTTCCCACGTTTCTGGCAAGTCCCAGACCAGAGTGATAACAAACCCCCACACAAACCTCAAGCAGCCTCTGGCTGCAATTAGTCCAGCCCGGCGCTGTTAGCACCAAAGCTGCACAGCAATAAATCCAAATTTATTTGGCAAATCAAGGAGCTCAGGAAGCAAAAGATCCAGGTAATTCGTCCAGAACGCCAGAAGGAATGCAAAGACTCTTGGAAAGTTCAAACGTTGGCACACAACACTTCAGGAACTCAGTGTTTGTTCCCGACAAATGCCCCTCCCACAGCATCTCCTTAAGTCTCATTCCCCAGGTGTGCCTTGTGAAGATGGGCAGGGCACACTTCTCCTGAGTAGCCTGCTCAGTCTGCACTGTTCACGCCTTCTCTCCACTCTCCGTGCTCTCGGATCAGGAGGGGGCGGTCCTTGCTCCTTGCCTGTGCTCTGTCTCTTATGTTCATCCTGGCCCTGTTCCTCCCTGCCTACAATCTGTCCTAATCCTGAAAGTCCCTGGCCTTCCCCATTTTCTTCCCAAGACAACGAAGCCACCACCCCCTCAATCTCTGTCGGCTCAGGTTCCAGCTCGTCTTCTCCCACAGATTCAGGCTCCGACGGGGGCATGACATCAATCAATCAATATACATGTATACCTGGATAACGGAGAATCTTCGCGGACACTTTAGAGTCAGATACGGTTTGGGGGGAAGCCCACCTGTGACCACTGCCTTTGTTTTCCCTGGCAGGACAGCAATGGCCAGGTGGCCGGGGGCGGAGTGTCCGTCTACTACTCCCACGTCCTGCAGATGCTTTTCTTCAGCTACAGCCAAGGGAAGTCCTTTGCGGCCACCATCAGCCGAGCTACCTTGGAGGTATTACACCTCTTTCCCATCAACATCAAAAGGTGAGGCCTTCACTCTCTCCCTCCCACTCTCCCTCCCTCCCTCCCTTCTGTGAGTCAAGATAGATGCAGAAAAGCCAGGGTGTCAGCGTCCCAGCACTGACATATAATAAAGGGAGGAGAAGCCTGAACTTTTGCCTGCTAAATTCCTTTGAAGATTCTGTCTCCTCGGAGATGGGGAGGGGGGGAGACATTCCTGTGATCTGACGAAGAAGGAATCAGGAAAGTGACTTGGAAGATAGCCAATGAGAAGCAGAGAATTGGGGATCGGAAAGGGAGGGATTGGGGAGCAAAGGTCAGTATTGACGTCGAAAGAGTCAGGATCAGATTGCTGTGCTCGAATAAAGAGAAAATTTCCTTGAAGATCGGCAGTTTGGAAATTCATTTATTTTGAGATAGCATCGAAACCTGACACAGGGAGAATTTGGGAACGGGGAGTGTCTGGCCTCTGAATTTCTTCCGCTTTGGGGAGGTCTTGTCCAGGTAGCCCTCGACTTATGACCACAACTGAGCCCCACATTTCGTTATGTTATTAAGGGAGACATTGGTTCACCCCATTTTTGCAACCTTTCTTGGCCTCGGTTGTTAAATGACTCGCTGCAGTGATAAATTAAGTAACCCAGTCGTTAAGTGACTCTGGCTTCCCCGTTGTCTTTGCTCGTCCGTAGGTCGCAAAAGGGGACCCCGTGATTCTAAGACCGTCATAAATACGAACTGGTTGCCGAGCGTCTGAATTTTGATCATGGGGGGGGGGGGGGGCGGCTGCAAAGGTTGTAATTGTGAAACACGGTCCTAGGGTCACTTTATTTTTTTTCAATGATGTACTAACTTGGAACGGTCGCTAAACGAACCGTGGTCATTCGAAGACTCCCTGTATTCTTTTTTCTCTGTCTCTGCCGGCTCGTCAACACTCTCTTAATCCCTTCTTTTCTTCACAGCTCTAACGGGGGCAGCAAGACCTCCCCGGCCCTTTGCCAGTGGTCAGAGGTCATGAACCACCCCGGCCTCTTGTGCTGCGTGCAACAGACCACCGGCATTCCTCTCGTCATGATGGTGAAGCCCGACACTTTCCTGATCCAAGAGATCAAGACCTTACCGGCGAAAGCCAAGGTGAGTTCGGCAGACCAGCCTTTCGGAGGTTGGGGGGGGGGGGGGGGGGGGCCGCACCCGGGGGGGGGGGGAGGGGGGGGGGGCTGCAACCAGGAAGGTGAGCGAATGCGAACGGAGGGGCTCTCGAGCTGATTGAAGACCTGCAGAGCCGGGACGAGTCACTGTGGAGCACCGAAATCGGCTTTTGAGTCAGGATTGGCAAAGAGATGCGGGCGGAGGATGGGGACGGGGACGGGGACGACGACTTTGATTCAGGATCCACAGCTTCGGTTCGTCCCAGGTGGCCAGAATTCCTGCTGAGCCTCCTTTGCTTGCCGGCCTTCTTCCTCTCTCTCGCACGCACGCACACGCATACATGGCGTCAACACTGGTCCCCCTCCCTGTGCTTAGATCCAAGACATGGTAGCCATCCGTCACACGGCCTGCAACGAGCAGCAGCGGACGACCATGATCCTCCTCTGCGAGGACGGCAGCCTGCGGATCTACATGGCCAACGTGGAGAACACCTCCCACTGGCTCCAGCCCGCCCTGCAGCCCAGCAGCGTGGTCAGCATCATGAAGCCCGTCCGCAAGCGCAAAGCGGCAGCCATCCGTAAGTCGCGGCGAGGGCAGGTTGGACGTTGGGCAGAAGGTGGTTTCTCCTCCACCTCCTCCTCTCTTCCTCCTCCTTCCCTCTCTCCCTCCCTTTTGCTCCCTCCTCTTCTCCCCTTCTTCCTTCCCTCCCTTCCTCACTCTCTCTATCCCTTCCTTTTCTTCTTTCTCTTCTCTCCTTCCTCCATCTCTCCTTCCCTTATCCTTCTTCCTCCTGCTTCCTCCATCTCTCCTCATTTTCCTTTTCCTCTTCCACATTATCCCCCCTCCTCCTTCCTCTTCCTTCTTCTCTCTTCTCCCTCCTCTTCCCCTTCCTCCTCCTTTCCTTCTCTTTCCTTTCTCTTCCCCTTCCTCCTCTTGTCTCTTTCCTTTTCTTTCCTCCTTCCCTCCTTTTTCTTCCCTCCTCCTCTCTCCTTCCTCCTCCACCTTCCTTCCCTTTTCCTTCTTTCCTCCCTCCCCTCCCTCCCTTTTCTTCCTCTTCCTCCTCCTCTGTCCATCCTCCCTCCCTCCCTCCTCTTCCTTTTTCTTCCCCTTCCTCCTCTTGTCTCCTTCCTTTCTCTTTCCTCCTTTCTTCCCTCCTTTTTCTTCCCCCTCCTCTCTCCTCCCTCCCTCCGCCTTCCTTCCCTTTTCCTTCTTTCCTCCCTCCCTTCCCTCCCTCCCTCCCTTTTTCTTCCTCTTCCTCCTCCTCTGTCCTTCCTTCCTTTCTTCCTTCCTCCTCTTCCTTTTTCTTCCCCTTCCTCCTCCTCTCTCTTTCTTCCCTCCCTCCCTCCACCCTCCCTCCCTTTTCTTCCCTCCTCCTTTCTTTCCTCTCTCCGTTTTCCCTCGTCACATTACTTGACTCCCTTGTATGAGAATTCTCTGGTCGCCACTATTGATATCAAACATCATACTGTTTTCATGTTTTATGTTTCCTATCGGCCCATCCTTTTGCTCTCAAAGACCTTGCAGTCCAAAACTAAGGATAGGGAGGGAAGACAAGTGAGAGTCATGAGGAAGGAAGGACCTGGAGAAAGACAGGCCTCTGGTTATGTTGCAAACCAGGATGGTTGCATGGCAGAGATTTGACCTGGGAAGAGGGGAAGTCTGAATTTCAGGAAAGGCTTCCCAGAGCAACCACAGCTGTTCCTCCAGTTTCACCCTCTGCTTGATGTCCCGCTGACGACCTGTTCTGTTGCTGCCCTTTCCCTCCAGCCACCCGCAGCTCCACCCAGGTGAACTTCCCCATCGACTTCTTTGAACACAACCAGCAGCTGACAGACGTGGAGTTCGGGGGCAACGACCTCCTGCAGGTCTACAATGCCCAGCAGATCAAGCACCGTCTCAACTCCACCGGCATGTACGTGGCCAACACCAAGGTAGGGATCTGGCAGGGGTTAGCGATGGCGAGGAAGCCCCTTGGCTGCCGGCGGGAGGAGAGGCCGAGTTCCTGGCCTTTCCTGCCTGTTGAGCCGTTCCTGTCCTTTCTCGGTAGCCCGGGGGCTTCACCCTCGAGGTGACCAACAACAACAGCACCATGGTGATGACTGGCATGAGGGTCCAGATCGGGACACAAGCCATCGAGAGAGCTCCTTCCTACCTGGAAGTCTTCGGCCGCACCTTGCAGCTCAACCTCAGCCGCCCCCGGTGGTTCGATTTCCCCTTTACTCGTGAGGAAGCCCTGCAGGCCGACAAGAAGCTGACCATTTTCAGTAAGAGCCCTGATTTTTAGTTGTCATTGCGGATGCCAGTGTCAGACCTGCCCCAGTCAGGTCCCTTGGGAAGGAAAGACCCTCGACTCCCATTTGGCTGAACTGATAGGTTCTTTGTCTAAAGACTGCTGGCTGCAGTAAAGTCAGGCTAGAACTAGATTTTCTGCGCGAAAAGGTTACAGATTGTTTCCCCCCCCATCCCAGTCCTCCCCCCATGACCAGTTTGTCTTCCGCCAGGGAAGAGCCCTTTAGGTATTGTGAGAAATCTCTTTCTTTTTTAAAAAATTAAGTTTTATTGGGTTTTTTCCCCCTAATACACACCCACATATTTTATGAAACAGAGTATTGACCATATCATATCATATCATATATACAACTTATCACATCCAAATATATTTTACTTAGTTACAATTTCTGCCAAAGTGTTCTTTTTCCATATTTTTAATCAAATCTTAATATTTCTATTCTTATTTCTATAAACAGTATCTTCTTTCGCCCTCAAATTCTATTTTTTCCATTTTTAATCATATACATTCTCTTTTAATATTTAATAATTCATTCTTTATCCTCATATATTTAAACATGTTCGGGGATGCCTTTCTTCCATTTCATCTTTATTGTTTTACAGCAATCTTCCTTCTCTTTCTCTTCCTCTCCCTCCCTTCTTTTATCCTTCCTCCCTTCTTCTTCCCTCCTCTCCTACTCCTTCTCTACTTCCCCTTCCTTTCTCCCCCTCCTCCTTTCTTCCCCCCCATTTAACCTTCTCTCCTACTCTTATTTCCCTTGCCTTTCTTCCTCTCCTCTTCCCTTTCTTCTATTCCTCTCTCTCCTTCTCCCTTCCTTCAATCTCCCTACTCCTTCTTCCATCTCTCTCTATTGCTGTATTCAAGAAATCTCTTGAGATGTTTGGGGGCCACATCCACATTCCAGTCTCAGGGTGTGTGTCCTTGAGGGCTGGCACAAACTGGTTTCTTGCTTCCCTGATCTTTGTCAAGCTGTTCCTTTCTTCCTATTTCTCATTACACCCTCATTGATTCTTTTTGCCATTTGCTGAGGGGGGTGCTCAGTGGCAGATCCACCCCACCTCTTTTCTTTTCCCAACTGCAGTCGGGGCCTCTGTGGACCCCGCCGGAGTCACCATGCTGGACGCCGTCAAGATCTACGGCAAGACCAAGGAGCAGTTTGGTTGGCCGGACGAACCCCCGGAGGACTTCCCGACGGCATCCGTGAGCAGTGTCTGCCCCCCAAACCTGAATCAAGGGAACGGGGCCGGAGATACGGAATCGGCGACCCCTGCAGCCGTGGGCGGCACCGTCTTGGAGAGGTAAATAATGGGCCAAAAGTTGGTTTTTAAATTCTGCTCCTCTCTGTGAAGCCCCTTTCCTGGCCCATATTGGAAATCAATTCTAGTATATCCCACTGTGCAGGGCATTCTTTAGCAAAGGCATGTCCAATTTGGCAACTTTAAGACTTATGGACTTCAACCCCCAGAATTCTGGCAGTTAAAATCCACAATTTTTTAAATGTTTTATTTGTTTTATTTATATAACATTCATTTTTCATCAAACAGCGTGTGGTCTTGGTACAGTTATTTTTAAACCATCATAATACACATATTTGTTGCGGTATTCATCATCATAATATTGATAATATAATAATAATATGATAATAATAGTACTTAACATCATCTTCTTTAACAACTTTCCACTTTAGCATTCCCTCTTTTTACAATACAATTCTTTATTGGCCAAGTGTGATTGGACACACAAGGAATTTGTCTTGGTGCATATGCTCTCAGTGTACATAAAAGATATGTTTGTCAAGAATCATAAAGTACCTCACTTAATGATAGTCATCGGGTACAAATAAGCAGTCAAATCATACTAGGAAACAATCAATATAAATCTTAAGGATACAGCAACAAGTTACAGCCATACAATCATAAGTGGGAGGAGATGGGTGATAGGAACGATGAGAAGATTTATAGTAATAGTAATAATTATATCTCTTCCCTAACTTCTGTTTCTGTTGTCTAGCCATTGATAAAATATGTCCCATATCAAAAAAAATTCAGCTGCTTCTTTATCCTTAATAGTAAGCGTTAGTCTATCCATTTCTGCGCATTCTAATAGTTTCTTAATTACATACACTTCAGATGGGATCTCCTCGTTTTTCCATTGTTGCGCAAATACAATTCTAGTGGCAGTTAATATATGCAAGACCAGATATGTACTAGTCTTTTTATCATATTTTTCTGGTAGAATGCCCAACAAAAATATCTCTGGTTTCAGGTCTATATGTTGCTTTGTCATTTTTTTCCAGCCAAGTATGTATTTTCGTCCAGTATGTTTTTTAGCTTTTGGGGCATGTCCACCACATATGGTAATATGAACCAGATGATTGATGACACTTCCAACATTTAGCAGATCTATCTTTATACATTATACAACATATAAAGAGAAATCCACAAGTCTTAAAGTTGCCTTAGTTGGACACCCCTGCTTTTATCAACTTCCAAATCCTGCAACCCCTTTTTCTCACCTTGTCTTTGCCCCATGTGTTTTGGAGATGCGGGAGGCCAGACAGTTTATGCTCAGCCTGCTCTCTGTCGGGGATACACCGTCCACCTGCTGGTTGTAGCTCCTTTGCCCCCACCCCCTTCCCTCCCCTTTAAGTTCCCTTTTTGCTTTTTAAACCTCCCCTGTTCGTTCCCTCCTCAGCTTGTTCTCCAGGGCAGTTTTGAGGCAAAAGAAATGTGAGGCAGGAAAAGGCGGACTCCAATGCGGGATGAAATTTTGCTGGCTTGGGTTTTGCTTTTGTATTTAATGGGAAGGGCAGGAAGAGAGAAGGAAAGGAAGGGAGCAATTTAAGAAGAAAAAGGCACGTGCGGAGCTGAGGTGGAGTCCCCCTTTAGCTCCAGTGGGTTTCTTTTCAAAGCAGAATTATATCTGTCTTGTATATTCCATGCTAGCATGTGCAAAAATCATCATCCCTGGGGTCTAGGAAAATTTCTATTCGACATGCTGGAGGTGCATCTTTAAATTTGCCAATTGTTTCTGGAAAGTATCTTTCTGGGTTGTCCTTCCATTGGACAGCACCAGTTTTGGAACTCTCCGCCACTGGAGATTTGCAGGGGGAAAAAAAAAAGCACAACGACTTAGTGACACTTAAGGGCTCCAAAAATTCAGTGTGACCCAGAAGCTGATTTTCCTGGGTCTGTCTTCTCATCGCCAAGGTTGTGGTGCAGAAAGCTCGTTGCAGGATTCCAGTGCCACACAGAAGACCTGACTTGGCATCTGTCTGGCAGATGGGATCTTCGATGGTTTGTGCCTGAGGTTGAGGATTGGATCTGCCACTTGTGTCCGTCCCCGTCCTCCCGCTGCAACCGATTTTGATCACCACACTACAAAAAAGAATGTTGAGACTTTGGAAAAAGTGCAGAGAAGAATAATCAAAGTGCAGCTAAGATGATCAAAGGCCTGGAGACTAAACCATTTGAAGAAAGGCTGCAGATTTTGGGTCTGGCTAGTCTAAAGACAAGAAGAATTAGGGGTGACACAATAGCAGTATTCTAGTATTTGAGGGGCTGTCACAAAAAAAGGGGGGGTCAATTTATTCTCCAACGCACCAGAGGGCAGGACAAGAAACGATAGTTGGAAATTAATCACAAAGAAGCAACCTGGAATGAAGGAGAAACTTCCTAACAGTGAGGACAATTAACCAGTGGAACAGCTTGCCTCCAGAAATCATGGGTGCTCCATCACTGGATGTTTTTAAGAAGAGTTGAGAGAGTCACTTATCTCAAATAGTATAGGTTCTCCTGCTTGAGCAGGGGGCTGGACTAGAAGACCTCCAAGGTCCCTTCCAGCTCATTCATTCTATTCTATTTAACTCCTGTGCCACCCATCTCCCTTCCAAGGGGGATTCTGGTGCCATCCTTAGCTGGTGCCCTCCAGACCCCACTGGCAACATCGAGAGTCTGTTTGTGCTTTTTCTTGGAAGTTGAATTTTTACAGGCTGAAATTCTGCAGTCGGCTCCGTTTTGCACTGCAGATCATGAAATCTCGTTCATTTGCAAGGATCATGAGGCCCAGTTTTATTCCCAGGAAATTGTCGACTGATTCGAATTCAGCCGGCTGAGCCCTGTAACGTTCAGCTGTTGCTTTAAACCCATACAGTCTGGATCATTAGAGGCAAGGGAAAGAAGTCACTCCGTTTTCAGTCACGATGGCCTCCTGCAGCCCTCTGCTATCAAAAACTGAGCTTGGGGAGGCCGCGCGCAGCCCACCTGGGCTCAGTTTTCAGCCACGACGGCCTCCTGCAGCCCTCTGCCAGCTAAAACGGAGCTCTGGGAGGCTGTGCGCAGCCCACGTGGGTTCCGTTTTCAGCCACGACGGCCTCCTGCAGCCCTCTGCCAGCGAAAATGGAGCTCCGAGGGGGGGCGCGCCAGCCTCCCCGGTTCCGTTTTCATTGACAGATGGCTGCAGGAGGCTGTCACAGGCCAAAACGGAGCCTGGGAGGGTCGTGCGCAGCCCTCCCAACCTCCATTTTCACTGGCAGAGTCACCACAGAGCCGGTCCTTCACTGTTTCCAAGGCAGCCCCGTAGGCCAGATCTAAGTACCCCGCAGGCCTTAAGTTTGACACCCCTGGCCTAGAGGCTTCTCTTCATTGCTTCATTGGAGCCATTCTCCAAGGAATCACTTTTATTTGGGTCCAGCTTTGCCTACGCACCTCCCTTCCCTCTCTTCCCCCCCAATTCCCAGCTCCATTTAGTTTGCCGGCTCCCTTTCCTTTGTTAAGTTGCTCTTAGGATGTGTTTTTCTCAATTCTGGTTTCTGTGAGCTTCGTATCTTTTCATTTATATCTACCTACATTATTTTTTTCCCCCTTTTCCTTTCGTTTCCTTCCCAAAGTCCTGACACTGAATCCTTAACCACCCTGGACCGGTTAGTATCCTGCCTCTCTCTGCACGAATGGTTTTGTGTGACAGAGACGGCTGCCCACTGCTTCCATCCTCCTGGCTGTTTTTCTTTTTTTTTTCCCCTCCTCTCCATTTGTTCCTACATTCGGTCGCTCGAGGATTTTTAAAGTATTAATCTCCACTGCGCTGCTTAATAACGGGGTCCCTTGCATGGCAGATTAAAGTCAGCAAAAAAGAGAAAGAAAGAAAAACCTCAGCCGTTCGTTTTCCTGCTTGGCTTCCCTCTGGTTCTCTCTGCTCCTGGCTAACTGTTGCCTGCAGTCTAGGCTAAAAAAAAAATATAAAAAATTAGAGGGCAAAGCTTAACCAGCTTTTGAGAAGGGTGAGGTGGGGAGAACCCGTAACTTTCCTGCACGCTGTGTGAAGGAAGTCCCTGAGGGACATGCTAGCTCTGTTTCACTGGCTCACATCCTTCCTGGTTTTTCTAACCTAGAAGGAGGTCCCTTTTTGTAAGTTGTTTTTCATTGCTTGTTTCAGACGCCTGCTAGATGATGAAGATTTGAGCATCTTAAATAGGGAATTCACTGAACTGCTTGTTGGGTCTGTTCTGGCTTTCTTCTTTCTGGTTTCTGACTTTTGGGGGGCTCTTTTCCTGGTTGATATGTACGGTGAAGATCGGAAGGGATCAGTTCGAAATTGGAATGTTGTTGATAAAAGACACAAGAATTGTTCCAAAGGAAGGGCAGGGCTGACTTCACAAAGCTACAACGTGTTTCATGTCTAGCTCCATGAGACCGTCAAAATCCCAGCTTCCGGGTGGCCCTAATTGAGTCTAAATCACCTTGGAGGGGTAATAAACAAGGGGAGCACACTCTGTCTATCTCAGGGAGCCTGCAAATTCCCTGATTGATCCGGAGAAAGCTCTTCAAACTGACGGCTGGGAAAGCAGCCATTGCGTGCCGCTATGAAGCTGGGGCAGTCTCCGGAAGAGCGAGAAGTCGGAACGAAGGTGTGATCGATCTGGGTGAGATACTTAAGATAGGAATCTTTAAACCCTTTGTTTAAGAAGAGCGGAATATCTACAGAGATTCTCCACCATCCAGGTCGTGGTTGTCCCAAAGGTGCTTTTTCAAAAGGCAACTGGATTTTCTTGGTTTTTATCCTTGAAAACGTTTCGCTTCTCATCCAAGTTAAACTCATCTTAGTTCACTCAGAACTTAAGACGCTCCTTGGATGAAAAGCAAAACATTTTCAAGGGGGAACCCCCCCCCAAGAAAGTCCAGTTGCCTTTTGAAAAGCCCCTTGGGACAATAAGCGGAAGGGCAAATGAGACCTAGATTGTTGTGGGTATCTTTACCCCACTGCGCAAAAGTAGAATCCAAAGAACTACAGATTTACCAGCCTGAACTTTTGATAGTTTGGAAGACTTTGGAGTAGCTCATACAGAATCATTGCGTAGCGCTCTCGCCTATCATGCATAATTACCGTATTTTTCGCACTATAAGAGGAACCTAGCTTTTGGAGAGGAAAACAAGAAAAAAAAAGTTCCACCTCCCAGCAATTTGCCTCCTTGCAGCAAACAGCAAACAGCCTGGTCAGCTTCAGCACAACCTGATTTAGCACGAGCAGCTGATTGGCCATTGGATCTGCCTCCTGGAATACCGCTGATCAGCTGTTCCAGGCTGCGAGGATCGCCGCCGCCCACCACTGCATATCACCGCCTCCACACGCCCCATTTTCGGCCTCCATGTGCCCCATTTTCGGCCTCCGCACATCCTGTTTTTGGCCCGTTCCAGGTGGCGGTGATTTTTCGTTGCTGCCTATCACCTCCACCTGGAATGGGGCGAAAACAGGACTCGTGGAGGCCAAAAATGAGGTGTGCGGAGGCTAAAAATGGGGGGCACGGAGGTGATTATAGGCAGTAGTGGCAATCTCCACAGCCTGGAACAGGTGATCGGCAGTATTCTGGGAGGCAGATCCAACCGCCAATCAGCTGCTCATGCTAAATTAGGCTGTGCTGAAGCTGACCAGGCTGTTTGCTGCAAGGAGGCAAATTGCTGGGAGGCAGAGGCTGGCGGGTGGGGGCCGATGGGTGGTCGGGGCTTCGGCAACATTCGCTCTATAAGATGTACAGACATTTCCACCCACTTTGGGGAGGGGGGGGATGCGTCTTATAGACTGAAAAATACGGTAAGTCAGCCTGGATTTATTCAGAACAAAATAGGCCCATTAATGGATAGCGGGGACACTGTTGATGTAATATATCTGCAGGCATACAGGCTTTTGTGTTTTCTTTGAATAAAACAAGCTTCCTGAAAGTAACTCATCTTCACTGCTATCACCCTATCAGGAACTAGAGGGGTGTGACCCGGCCAGAGATGTGCCCTAAAACAGCCCTGAGTTTTTCCGAACACGAGCCAGATTGCCCTAGATTTGCATGGTGCCTGTAGCAGCTCTTTCTTTTGCTTTGATTCTTTTCTCTGCGCTGGGGAGAGCAAAGGGTTTGGCATCCTCAACTGCTCCCCACCTTCTTTCTGAGCCATCCCGGGGTGGGGGCGGGGAGGGGGTGCTCTTATGTTGAGCCTTTTCTGACCAATCTTTTCTCCTTGTCTTTCCTCCTGCAGGCTAGTAGTGAGTTCTTTAGAAGCCCTGGAAAGTTGGTTTGCCGTCGGACCAGTCAACGAGAAGGCAAGTCCCTTTGCTGTGGGGGGGTTTGTGGGGAGGCTGGAGAAGAGAACGGTGACGCCTTGAAGCCCTGATCTTACGGATCCTAACTTCTCGGACTGCTCTGCTGAAGCTCTTGTGACTTAGGCTTCCTGAGTCATTAAAACACACGAGTAGTCCCAAAAACCTCTTTTATTGCAACAGCTGTGAATTACGTTCATTCACAGCTGAGTCCCAATTAGTTGCAAAAAGTCCTTCGGGATAATCACCAACCTTTATCTCCCTTGACACTCTGCCAAAGACCTACTTGGCAAAGCCACACAGATTCCCGAATCAACCAGAGATGCCGACTGGGAACAGAATTAACGACGTTGCTTTCCTGCAAAGGGCCCACGTGCCTTTGCTGCTCGTTTAAGCCTTATGGGAGGGGCCAATCAACTCCAGGCCTTACTCCCGAGTCATCCCTTTAGTTTTAACTGTTCTTGCCTTCTGGCAGCTCTGCGCATGCGCACACTGGGAACAGGCTCCTCCTGTTCCTCAGCCTCTCTGCTGTCCGATTCTGGGGGCTCCGGAGTCCGCACATAACTCCCAGATGGCCCTGGGCCCATCTCTGCCTCCGACGCAGAGCCCTCATCCGGGCCTTCCCCAGACTCCAGGACTGACCCATGTTCCTCCCCAGCCTCCTCACTGTCCGACTCCACTGCCAGCTCCGCAGACTGCTGACGGACCACAACAGAAGCCGAGATTTGTCCGGAAATGAGCCTCCCTGTCCTCCATCCAAATTAAGATTCAGAAATGCAGCCCCCTGGGTCTTGAGCAGGCTGTGGCATTCTCCCTTCTCGTGGGTGGGTGGGCGCCTTCCCAATCCCCCAGAGCAAGCGCCATCTGACTTGAGCTCGTCTGCCCTCAGGAGAAGACCAAGGCTGCCACTCAGGAGTTGGCCACCATGCTGCTGTCTACACCGGCCCCTTCCAGCGTCCAGCAGCAGACCAAGAGCCTGCTGGCCAGCCTCCATGCCAGCCGCTCAGCTTACCACAACCACAAGGTAAGCGAGCCAGTTTCCTTCCGCGACGCAGCTTCCCAGATCCCTCTGTCCGCCACCCTGCGGATCCCCAGGGGAATTCGGAAGACACTCAGCAAAGTCTTGCCTCAGTTTCCACGTGCATCTGGATTTTCTGGTTTTGTTTTTTTTGGGGGGGGGGAAGACCTTTCGCTTCTCATCCAAGAAGCTTCTTCAGCTCTGACTGGATAGTGTGGAATGGAAGGATTTGTCCTCCTTGCAGATTGCTGGTTATTTGCATTCTTTTAGCAAGTGATTTAGTGTTCTGTCCCCGTCCCACATGCACACACACCAACAGACGTTCAAGAGTTAAAGACCAAACCAGCCGGCAAAATCCTTTTCCTTATGATAACGGAACTTGGCAACAACCTAGTGGCTGCCTGCCAAGAGTTTATTATTTACGAAGAGGAGAGATAACTTCTCCCCACTTCTGATATATCAAAAGAAACAGCTCAATAATTACGGAGTCAATCAAGTCCAGAGATAATCCAGCAAAGTCTATAGCAAAAAGTCCGGCAATGCAGAATGGCGTGGAAGCTTTCAGCTTTGTTCGTCACAAGGTTTGACTGGCCACCACGCTCCCTTTTATATCCTGTGGGGTGTGGTCCAGTGACTCAGCCTAATCTCGGGCACGCCTTTTCTTCTGTTGCGCGCGCTTATCTCTGCGACGCTGGCGTGGATCCAGCCAAGACTCATTACCCTCATCACTGTCCATCTGTGGCTGCGTGGACGTGCTTGGCCCCGGTCCTATCTCTTGCCCTTCGGCGGTCACCGAAGGCATTGCCAGAGAGGAGGGTCCTGGAGAGGGAGGCCTTGCCAACTCCTCCCCTTCACTCTCGGAGTCCTCTCCTGCCGATGACACAAGCTCAGGCAACGGAGCCACAACATTTAGCTTCTTCTGCTCTGTTCATAACTCTGCATCGTTCGAAGGGTATTCATCCCAAAGTGCCGTAGTTAAATGTCTATGGAGATTCTCAGTCATCCAGGTCATGGTTGTCCCAAAGGTGCTTTTTTAAGAAGCAACTGGACTTTCTGGATTTTGCTTGAAGACGTTTCACTTCTCATCTAAGAAGCTCTGAGCTTGTCTCTTGAAAAAGCACCTTTGGGACAGCCATAACCTGGATGGCTGAGAATCTCCACAGACGTTTACCGATAGAGCCACACGGGCGCAGGAGAAGCGAAGCCAGCTCTGAGGTTTTCGCGTGAAAAACAGCACAGTTAATTTCCCCATGTGGGGAATACCCATTATCCAATCGCACGGCCGTGAAGCGTCAGGATTTTCTCAGGCTGCCAACGGCTCCCGTACATTCCTTGCCGCCCTCCCAGCTCCCAGTACATTCCAAGCATTCCCTTCTCCCCACCCCCTACCCCCCTTCGTTTCTGTTGTCAAGTTGAGAGTAGAGGTGCGTTGCGAGTCAGCCTTGACAGCACCCCTGCTGGCGTTGGCGTCGTCTTGTGTTATCTTGTGGCATCGGGTGATTGTGAGGAAGGGGACTCCGATTCAGCTCTTTCCTTCGGCACGGTCTGCCTCCCACAGGATCAGGCCCTGTTGAGCAAAGCCATCCAGTACCTCACCACCTCGAACAAAGAAGGGAAGGATCTGGAACCGGAGGTCTTTCAGAGATTGGTCATCACGGCCCGCTCCATCGCCATCATGCGGCCGAATAACCTGGTCCATTTCACGGAGTCGAAGTTTCCGTCTCTGGAAACAGGTAGGGCAAAACTCTGTCCTCTCCTTGCACGCAAATCCCCACGCGCCCAGCTTTCCCCCCCACCCCCCATCTTTTGAGAACGATGTGTGGGTTTGTGGGGTGGGGTGGGGGCTTCCATCTGCTCAGCAAAAAAAAAAGCCTTACCTTAAACTTTCAGAAAGCATCGAAGAAGGTCAGGAGGCTGCGAAGGCCCCGGAAGGAGAAGGGTGCAGTTTTATCACCCAACTGGTCAACCATTTCTGGAAACTTCACGCCTCCAAACCCAAGAACGCCTTCCTGGCGCCTGCATGCTTGCCAGGTGGGTTCCGTCTTTCTCGAGCGGGGATCAGACATGGCTGCCAGGGTGGCAACAGACGTGCAGAGTGTTCCATGCCAGATATTTGTCCCAACTGAACTGCTCATGCTGCCTTCTATCTCTGGACCCTGTAATGGTCTCCTCCAAGCTCCTCTTAACAGTCCACTCCCTCCCTCCCTTTTCTTTCTTTCTTTCTTCCTTTCTCCCTCCCTCCCTCCTGCCCTCTTTCTTTCTCTCCCACCCTCCTTTTCTTCTTTCTTTCTTTCTTTCTTTCCTTCCTTCCTTCCTTCCTCCCTCTCTCTCTCTCTCTCCCGCCCTCTTTCTTTCTTTCTCCCACCTCCTTTTCTTCTTTCTTTCTTTCCTTCCTTCCTTCTTTCCTTCCTTCCTCCTTCTCTCTTCTCTCTCTCTCTCCCGCCCTCTTTCTTTTCTCTCTCTCACCCACTTTCTTTCTCTCTCTCCCACCCTCCTTTTCCTCCCTCCCTCCTTCCCTCTGTCCCTCCCTCCCTCTTTCTTTTTTTCTTTCCTTCCTTCCTTCCTTCCTTCCTTCCTTCCTTCCTTCCTTCCTTCTTCTTCCTTCCTTCCTCTCTCACTTTCTCTCTCTCCCTCCCTCTTTCTCTCTCTCTCCCTCCTTCTTTCCTCCCTCCCTCCCTCCCCTGGAACAGAAAGAGCACCCGGCCATGGCCTACAGGATTCCCACTTCCCCTGAGCTCTCTCCTCCCCCTTCCTCTCTCTGCCGCAGGGCTGACCCACGTCGAGGCCACCGTCAACGCCCTCATAGACATCCTCCACGGATATTGCATCTGCGAGCTGGACTGCATCAATGTCGCCTCCAAAATCTACATGCAGATGTTGCTGTGCCCGGTACGTTGTTTCACGGCTGGTCTTAGGTCCGTTCCCAAGCAACCAGGGCATGCTAGAAGGACAGAGCGTGTCCTGCTCCCCCACTCAGCATGGGTGGCCAACCGAGGACCCCAGAGGGAGCAGCAAAAGAGACCTGGCTTGTCTCTTGCACCCTCGGTTGCTGGTTGGCTGTAGCAGGGAGCAGCCAAACCCGGTGGGAATTGTCAGCCTGGTGAGGAGAGGGTAGGAAGGGCCATCTGCTCTTTCTCCTCCTCCTGGAGCGCCCAAAAGAGGGGAGGCAAAAGGCTCTGAGAACTCGGCTGCTTCTGCTACCCTCTTTCCCCCCAAAATAAGGCACCCCCTGATAATAAGCCCAATCACACTGTTAAGGATATTGGTGTTGTGTTACCAACCAGCAGAGTAAATGCACAAGGAAACGTTGCTGAGAGCAATGAATAAGAGTTATGCAAACTGGTTTATCAAAAGTTTACTTTATAGTGGAGAAAAACTATCTCATAAGTCTTTAAACAAATTCCAAGTCTTTGCCACTTAAATCAGTCCAGTAGTTACAGATATCTTCTCACCAAACAGACATTAGTTGGTTAGAACAACAAACTCACTCTGGTTCACAAACCACGATGGTAGCAAATCCATCCAATGATGATTAGCAGAATGTTAGCAACTCCTCACTATGGCAGCATATCATAGCAGCTTCACCATCAAACTGAACACGTTACAATACCTTGCTTAAATACTCTCACAACCAGTCATTACCTAATTACAGCATGACTCAGCATTACAATGAATCAACAATAAAGCCTTAAAGTCACACAATACATATTCATATTAAAGTCACAGAACACACATATTGCCTGGACAACTTGTTAGGCTCAAACCATATCCTAACACACACTTTTGAGCGCATGGCAATAAGGCCAAGTGCTTATTTCAGGGTTCAAAAAAATATTAAGACAGGATATCATTTTTGGGGAAACACAGTAGTCAAGCACTCCTGTGGCTGCATGGCCCAGCTGGGTGTCAGCTCCCATAATCCCCAACCAGAAAGCGCCAGTCTGAGCAGGACGGGACTGTTCCTCACTCCTTCCCGTTTGCCCTCTTGTTGTTCAGGCAGGGAAGAGGCCAGCTCCTTAGGCTGCATCCGTGAACTAAACCAAGTTGAGCTAGGTCTGAACAGTGTGTGAAGGCAGCTAAAAGATCCCTCTGGAAGGCTGAAACTCTTTTCGGGCAGAGGACCTGATGCTTGAATCCCTTGAGAGTCCGTTCCTGCCCAACCCCACCAGGCCATTGCCCCCCCCCCCCTCCCCTTCCCCTCCCAAACACACTTTGGATTTTCTACTTTGCCTTCCAGGATCCGGCTGTGAGTTTCTCGTGCAAGCAAGCGCTGATCCGGGTGCTGAGGCCCAGGAACAAGAGGAGACACGTGACCTTGCCTTCTTCTCCTCGAAGCAACACCCCCATGGGTAAGGGGGAGCACTGTTCTGGAGCCTGGGGCACGGACGAGGGAAACCTCATGGGAAGCCCCGCCAGGGAGAGAGTCTCAGCCCCTGGAGGAGGCTTCCCTTTGAGGAGACCCCAGGAGCATCTCTTCATTCTCGGGAAGGTCACGTCCCCCTGGCTGGGACTGGAGACGTTGTCTTGCCCCAGCCACATTCCCTCTCTGTCTCCCCCACTCCTCCTCCCTCTCTTTCTCATCTCTCCCTCCCTCTCTTTTTCATCTCTCCCTCCCTCCCTCCCTCCCTCCCTCTCTCTTTCTCAACTCTCACACTCTCCCTCCCTCCCTCCCTCTTTCTCATCTACCTCCCTCCCTCTCCCTTTCTCATCCCTCCCTCTCTCTCCCACTTTCTCATCTCCCTCCCTCCCTCTCCCTCCCTCCCTCTCTCATCTCTTCCTCCCTCTCTCTCCCTCTCCTTCTCTTTTTCAACTCTCACACTCTCCTTATCCCCCTCTCTCCTTCTCTCTTTCTCATCTCTTCCTCCCTCCCTCTCCCTCTCTCTCAACTCTCATATTCTCCCTCCCTCTCCCTCTCCCCCTCTCTTTCTCTTCCTCCCTCCCTCTCCCTCTCTCTTTCTCATCTCTAACTCTATCCCTCTCTCTTTCTCATCTCTTCCTCCCTCTCTCTCTCCCTCTATTTCTCATCTCTCTCCCTCCCTCCCTCTCCCTCCCGCCTCTCTTTCTCTTCTCTTCCTCCCTCTCCCTCTCTTTGTCAACTCTCACACTCTCCCTCTCTCTTTCTCATCTCTAACTCTCTCCCTCTCTCTTTCTCATCTCTTCCTCCCTCTCTCTCTCCCTCTCTTTCTCATCTCTCTCCCTCCCTCCCTCCCTCTCCCTCCCTCCTCTCTTTCTCATCTCTTCCTCCCTCTCCCTCTCTTTGTCAACTCTCACACTCTCCCTCTCTCTTTCTCATCTCTTCCTCCCTCCCTCCCTCTTCCTCTCATCTCTCTCCCTCCCTGTCCCTTTCTCAACCCTCCCTCTCCCTCCCTATCTCTTTCTTATCCCTCTCCCTTCTTCTCTCTCCCTCTCTTTTTCATATCTTTCTCCCTCTCTTTCTCAACTCTCACACTCTCCCCATCTCCCACTCCCTCATTCTTTTTCATCTCTTCCTCCCTCCCTCTCCCTCTCTTTCTCAACTCTAACCTTCTCCCTTTCCCTCCCTCTCTCTCTCGCCCTCTCTCTCATCTCTTCCTCCCTCCCTCCCTCTCTCTTTGTCATCTCCCTCTCCTTCTCTCTCTCCCTCCGGTCCCCGTCCCCCCCCATGCTCTCTCGTGCATCTGGCTGGGCTTCGCAGGACTTTTCTCTCTTTTTCTTAACATCCAGGCGACAAAGACGATTATGACGACGACGATGCTGATGACAAGATGCAGACCCCCGGCCTGCCCAGCGGGGAGGACATTCGGCAGGAGAGCCAGGAGCAAAATGAGGTGGACCATGGAGACTTTGAGATGGTGGTGAGTCCCCCGGCTGGCCCGGAAAATCTGGGCCTGCCGCTCAGCCTGGAGAAGAACGGGGGCATTGGGATGCTTCGTTGAGGAGGGGGGGTGTCTTAAATTTAATGATCCCTTAGAGAGGGTCAAAGGGTATATAGCTCCCCCAGAGGTATAATGGGGGAATGTGTTTAATGGAGCTGCCTCCAATCTTTTGGGCACCAGGGACCAGTTCCGTGGAGAGTGGTTTTTACCCCGGACTGGAAAGGGTGTGGTTTTGTATGCCGCCTGCATCCCGCAGATAGGGGGCTTCGCTTGTTTGCGCAGCCCAATTTCTGGCATGCCATGGACTGGTGCCGACCGGAGGTTGGGGACCCCTGGTCTAATCCAGTCGGCCACAATGTTTTGGCATCTCTCCTACTCCTAGTCTGAATCGATGGTCCTGGAAACTGCCGACAACGTGAACAACGGGAACCCGTCTCCCCTGGAGGCTCTCCTGGCTGGGGCCGAGGGCTTCCCCCCCATGCTGGACATCCCCCCCGATGCCGACGACGAAACCATGGTCGAGCTGGCCATTGCCTTGAGCCTGCAACAGGACCAGCAGGGTGAGAGAGGCAGGCAGCCCCTTCCCCACTACAGTGTGTGTGTGTGGGGGGGGGCTCCTTTACAGACTTGGGCAAAGGCAAGGCCTCCTGTGCTGTCAACCAAGAAGAATGGAGGGAGGCACGGTGAGCTGCAGTGGCGCACTGGTTAGAGTGCAGTTCTGCAGGCTACTTCTGCTGACTGCTGGCTGCCTGCAATTTGCCAGTTCAAATCTCACCAGGCTCGAGTTGACTCAGCCTTCCGTCCTTCTGAGGTTGGTAAAACGAGGACCCAGATTGTTGGGGGCAAGAGGCTGACTCTGTAAACAGCTTAGAGAGGGCTGTAAAAGCACTGTGAAGCGGTATATAAGTGTAAGTGCTATTGCTATTGCTATATAAGAGCCGTAGTGGTGAGAATGCAGTATTGCAGACTAACTCATTGCTCGCTGCCAATAGTTCGATTCTAAGCGGCGCAAGGTTGACTCCACCTTCCGTCCCTCCGAGGTCAGTCCTCATTTTACTGACCTCAGAGGCTGACTCTGTAAACTGCTTAGAGAGGGCTGCAAAGTACTGTGAGGCGGTATATAAGTCTAAGAGCTATTGCTATTACTGTCCCGGATACAGAGAAGAAGAAAAAAAACCAGAGACTTGTTTGTGGCTTCCTCCCGTACCCTCGGCGTTAATTTCTCCCGCCCTTCATTTCCCTCTCTCTCTCTCTCTCTCTCTCTCTCATGCAGGCAGCAGCAGCAGCGCTCTCGGCTTACAGAGCCTGGGGCTGTCTGGACAGGCCCCCAGCTCTTCCTCTCTGGATGCCGGGACTCTGTCAGATACCACTGCATCAGGTAATGAGCACGGGGTAAAACCCGGTCCTTGGTGGGGGGGGTTGTTGGGTGAGACGTGCCTGGATCGGATGCCTCCTGCGAGACAGTCCTCATCAGGGTGGACGTGATTCAAATTGTTTTGATTTAAATCAAATCCACCCTGTCTCTTTATATCACTTCTTCACCAACATCTTACAGGCGGTGGTTTACCCGTTCAATTATCAATCCAAAATCAAGTTGGGTGTAGTTGTTAAAATGATGGGAGTAGGTCTGGAAAGGTTTGGTTATCAGCCTACCCTCAAGCACAAAAAAACCCGGAGAGGTTCTCTACATCACGGACTTGCCTTCATATATATGGGTGGGCTTCCAGCTATAAGTGATCTGAACCTTTTGTATTAAAAAAGTATTTTACATTTTCATCCTGGACTTTGCAAGGCATGAGCTGGATCATAAAACAGAAGTAATAGAGTACAGTAAATGACCAAAAGTTCCGACTTGATTTCAATCAGATCGATTTCAATCATGATTTCAATCACTACTAAAAAAGCTTGGTTTAAAACAAGTCGATTTAAATCACAATCATGATTTAAATCACCAGTCAAAAGGCTTGATTTAAATCAACTCGATTTAAATCACAATTTCAATCATGATTTCAATCATCAGTCAAAAGGCTTGATTTTGTAAAAAAAAAAAAAAAAAAAAAAAAAAAAATTCATCGATTTTGATCCACCCTGGTCCTCGTTGCCTCCAGTTCGAACAGACTGCCCCCACACTGTTTGTTTTGAAGTGGGTTTCAAAAGGGATCGAACGACAAAGCCCCCCCCCCCGGTCCTCATTTCTTTGGCCTGCTTCGGGTGGTCCCCGTTCGAACAGCTCAGAGGCCGGGTTTTTACTTGTAACAGCTCTCCTTACTCTCCTAGCTCCAGCCTCCGACGACGAAGGCAGCACGGCTGCGACCGACGGCTCCACGCTCCGCACCTCCCCAGCCGACCACGGGGGCAGCGTGGGCTCTGAGAGCGGGGGCAGCGCAGTGGACTCCGTGGCAGGCGAGCACAGTGGTAATCGCCCCTCCTCGGTATCCCCTTCCCTTTGGGGAGCATTTGCCTCTTTGGTCCAGGCTTCGGTCCAGGCCTGACCTGGGAAAGGGGGGGGGGGTGTTTTCCTCTTTTCCCCATAGACCAGGGGTGTCAAACTCAATTTCATTGAGGGCCGCCTCAGGGTTGTGTTTGACTTTGGGGGGGGGGCAGTGGGTGTGTGGCCAGATCAATGTCACTTGTGTCGGGGGCACCTGTGGCGGCCTGAGTGCTCTGCAAGCGAAAACGGGCTCCCAGGCAAGGGTGAAATCCAGCAGGTTCTGGCGAACCGGTAGCAGAAATTTTGAGTAGTTCGGAGAACCGGCAAATGGCACCTCTGGCTGGCCCCAGAGTGGGGATTTTGCACTATCCTTCCCCCAGGAGTGGGGAGGGAATGGGGATTTTGCACTATCCTTCCCTGCCACACCCACCAAGCCATACCACGCCCACAAGCCACACCCACAGAACTGATAGTAACAAAAATTGAATTTTGCCACTGCTCCCTAGCTCCATTTTTGGCTATGACAGCTTCCTGCAACCTCCTGCAGCCTTTCTGAGCTCCATTTTTGCTGGCAGAGGCCCTGCGGGCCCATCCTTTGCTGTTTCCAGGTCTGGGCCTTGAGTTTGATCACCTCTGCCCCTTGGCCAGGCACCTCCAGGAGACCGCCGGTGCTCACCCTCCTGGTTCTCCCTTGCAGTGTCCGGCCGAAGCAGCGCCTACGGAGACACGACGGCTGAGGGCCATCCGGCAGGGCCTGGGAGCATCAGCTCCAGCACGGGGGCCATCAGCACCGCCACGGGGCAGCCGGAGGGTGAAGGCTCTGAAGGCGAGGGCGAAGGCGAAGGGGACGTCCACGCCAGCAACAGGCAAGAGAGCTCTTTTCCCTGCTTCGGGCGTATGTGTCTGGGAAGCCCTCCAAGGCCAACCTGGGGAAACAGAAATGGTCGTGAGTCAAACGGCAGCGGGGAGACCGAGCGTGGGGAAGGGGAGGAGGAGGAGGAGGAGGGAAAAAGCTGGCTCAGGAACTCAGGCATGGGAAAGGGCCAGCGTCCCGTGGCTTCTGATTGTTCTGTCGGAGGCCATTTTTGGGGGGGGGGGTCAGCAGGGGACAGTTAACTGTTAGGGTGGTTAGGCCCTTCCTCTTCCTTTTCCTCAGGGCTTGCTTGTCCCAGGTTCTGCCAATCAAATAGCCCTTCCTGTGGACGTCTCTTAGGACTACAATAAGGAACACAATTCATGCTGCTCAGTTGCCAGAGTGTAGTTTTTACAGCCAGACCTCACATGCCTTCCTTCTCTTCCTCCTCCTCCTCCACCACCTCCTCCTCCTTTCTCTTTCTCTCCTCTCTCTCTCCTTCTCTTTCTCTCTCTCTCACTCATTCATTCTTTCCCTCCCCCTTCCCCTCTTTCTCTTTCTCTCTCCCACCTCCCTCCCTGTCTCTCTTTTTTTCTCTCTCCCTCCCTCCCTCTTTCTCTGTCTCTCTCCCTCCCTCTCCCTCTCTCTCTCTTTCTTTTTTTTTTCCAGGTTGCACATGGTCAGGCTAATGCTGCTGGAACGGCTACTGCAGACCCTTCCTCAGCTGAGGAACGTTGGCGGGGTCCGGGCCATCCCCTACATGCAGGTGGGTCTGAGTGATTCTTCCTCCTGCCATCTTTGTGATGTGCACGGGGTGGGTTTGCCAGGTCTTTTCCCTAGCTGTGGTTCCTTTCTCTGTTTCTCCCTCTTTTTTCTTGAACTGGTACTCAAAGACCAGGTCCAGTGTCTCTCCTAACACTACCTGGTAATCATAAGCACAGCCTGGAAATATGAAGGTTCCCGTCGTACAGCGCCTCTCGCTGACCCTGCTTTTGCGGTTGAACACTAGAGTGTATTATTTGAATGCTTTTTAGCGTTATTTGGAGGGCCATGGGTGGGTTTGTTTTTGTTTTGTTTTTATTAAATTTATATACCGCCCTACTCCCGAAGGACTCAGGGTGGTGAACAGACACAAAATAAAATACATAGATACAAAAGTTAGAAACATAATTAAAACCAGATTAAATAATTTAAGCCCGAGACAATTAAAAATCCCAATAATTTAAAACAGATTAAAATTTCGATTTAAAAGAATTTTAAAACAGGGGAGAAAATTAGGCCGGGCCGGCTTGCTGGAATAGAAGAATCTTAAGAGCACGGCGGAAAGTGCGCCGATCCGGGATCCTCCGTATCTCTGGGGGGAGCTCGTTCCAGATAGTGGGTGCCCCCACAGAGAAGGCCCTCCCCCTGGGGGCCACCAGTCGACATTGTTTGGCTGACGGCACCCAGAGGAGCCCCTCTCTATGAGAGCGTACCGGCCGGTGGGAGGCGGTTTGTGATAGTAGCGGTCCCGTAAATAACCAGGTCCTAAGACATGGAGCGCTCTAAAGGTGGTGACCAAAACCTTGAAGCGCACCCGGGTGGGAGGGACTTCTGTTCACCAAGCCTGGAGGACTCTACACCTCCTTGGCCATTGTTTCTGACTTTGTCCCACAATGTGCCTTGTGCCCAGGTGATCCTGATGCTGACCACTGACCTTGATGGCGATGAAGAAAAAGACAAAGGGGCACTGGATAACCTTCTCGCCCAGTTGATTGCTGAGCTCTGCATGGAGAAGAAGGTAACACACACACACATACACACACATTCTCTTACTGCATGACGTCCCCCCAGGATGAGACGTGAACGTAGTTGGAAAATACTATAAGAGGCAGCGGCTCCTACCTGAAACCCTAAGCTCTCAGTCAGAATAGAGCCTCTCTAGGAGTGTCTGGAGGCTGGGGACAGCAAAAAAGTCACTTCCTGTCTAACCAGGAGTTGGGAAATGGGCCGTTTCAGGCCTCTGGAGGACCTCCGAGGGAGTGGGGAAGGCTGTTTTCGCCCTCCCCAGATGCATAGACAAGATCTGGAGCCAGGTGAGAAAGAAAAACGGGCCTTCCCCACCCCCACCCCCAGGCCCTCGGGAGGCAGGAAACAGCTTGTTTCCCTACTTCTGGTGGGCCCAGAAGGCCCGAAAATCAGCTGGCCGGCACACGCATGGGCGCCAGAGCTGAGCTGGTATGCCCACTGATATGGCTACGCGTGCCACCTGTGGCACACATGCCATAGGTTCGCCATCATGAGTCTAGACTCTTGTTAAAAACATCCATTGATGGAGAGCCCACAATTTTCAAAGGCAAGCTTTCCCACTGGTTAACTATCCTCACTGTTAGAAAGTGTCTCCTTAATTCCAGGTCGCTTCTCTCCTTGGCTACTTTCCATCCTAAATCAAACCTGTTGTCAGCGCTGCAACGCTGGCATAGAGAGCAGAGGAGAGAGAGAGATAAGCTCTGAACTTTTGCCTGCTAAATCCCTTTGAAGTCGGGTTGTCGTGGAAATGAGGGGGGGGAGACATTCCTGGGAAATGACGAGACAAGAAGTCTGAAGAATGACTTGGAAGATAGCCAATGAGAAGCAGAGATTTGGGGATCGGAAAGGGAGGGATTGGGGGGGCAAAAGGTCAGTCTTGTCCGCATCGAGTCATGATCCGGTGGCTGTGCTCAATTAAAGAAAAGATTTCCTTAAAGATTGGCAGTTTGGAAATTCATTTATTTTGAGATAGCATCGAAGTCTGACACCTGTGACTCAGGATGGGAACCAATCAAGGAGAGAATCAATAACCTTAATAAGCATCAATAATCATCCTAAATCAGACCTGTGGGGGAAATGCCACTTTGCAGGGCCAGGCTGAGAAGCCCTTTGACCTGCTGGCCACTAGAGGGCAGCAGTAGCTCGAGGGAGAACCAGCCGGCCAGCCAGCTGATAAGTTCCGTTTGCTGCTGGTCAGGTTCATTGCCTTTGGCTCCTGGATGGGTTGGCTATCTATCTATCTATCTATCTATCCGTATATATTTAATTTCCCGACTTGACTACTGCAATGCTCTCTACATGGGGCTCCCCTTGAAGTGCACCCAGAAGCTCCAACTGGTCCAGAATGCGGCCGCGCAAGTAATTATGGGAGCAACATGGCGCTCACATGTAACACCTCTTCTACGCGAGCTGCACTGGCTTCCGGTGGCCTCCCGAGTGCGCTTCGAGGTGTTGGTTCTTACCTTTAAAGTGCTCCATGGCTTAGGACCTGAGTACTTACGAGACCACCTGCTGCAACCGATAACCTCCCACCAACCAATACGCTCTCACAGAGTAGGCCTACTCATAGTACCATCATTAAAACAATGTCGTCTAGTAGTTCCAAGGGAGAGAGCCTTCTCTGTGGGGGCGCCTACTCTTTGGAACAAAATACCCCCTGGAATACGAATAATCCCAGATCTTCGCACTTTCCGACGTGCCCTGAAGACCTTTCTATTTCAACAAGCAGGGCTAGCATAAACATCTAAATTCTATGCCAAGGTCTTAGCAGATACACTAAGTTGACTCAATTTATTATTTACTGTTTATAATATATATATATATATATATATATATTATATGTATATGAAATCTTATTCTGTTCACTGCCTTGAGTCCTTCGGGAGAAGGGCGGTATAGAAATTCAATAACTAACTAACTAACTAACTAACTAACTAACTAACTAAATAAATAAATAAATAAATAAATAAATAAATAAATAAATAAATAAATAAATAAATAAATAAATAAATTTGTTTACTGCCTGCCTTGTCGCGAAATGAGTCGGATCTGTAGCAAGGAGTGGTATTCACTTACCTTCCCTCCCGGTTCGCAAATGTGTCGTCTGCGCATGCGCAGAGTCTCGAAAAAGCGTGGAAAACGGGATGTCATGACGTCCGTGTGGGTGGGTGGGGGGATCCCGCAGTCGCCCCCTACCGATTTCGCCTGAACCAGATAGAACCGGCTGAATACCACCACTGATCCGTAGGCCGTAGTGCCAACTTTGGAAAAATAACACAAAGTATTTACAGTCAAGGGATATCCAAGATAGGTCTGTGCCTGTGCATCGATCATAATTCGGGGGGATTAGGGCAGTGGTGAAATGTAAAATTTGTTACTACCGGTTTTGTGGGCGTGGCTTGGTGGTGGTGAGGTAATATGACTGAGTGGGCATGGCCAACTTTTTTTTTTTTTTTAACTTTTAAAACCATTTTTTAAAGCATTTTTTTGTAAAAAAAAAAAATGCTTTAAAAAGCCTCTGACGAACCCAGCTGACTTGCCTGATCGGGAGAGGCTTTCTTTTTTTAAAAAAAGCCTCTGACAATCCCAGCTGACCTGCCTGATCGGCAGAGGCTTTTTTTCCTTTTAAAAACATTTTTTCTATAACCTCTTCGTCTGAAGAGGTGGTAGAAAAAATGCTTTGAAAAGCCTCTGACGATCCCAGCTGAGCCGCACAATCATGAATTTCTTTCTTAAAATCTATTTCTTACCAGCTTCTCTGCAGCCTCTTCTTTAGCAGGACAGTAGAGCTCAGTGAAACACAGAGCCAGTTTATTCGTTAAGCAGAATAAAATTAGTTATTTTCCTCTTTTATTAGTCTATGTGTATTATGAATTTCCCCAATGCCTTTTACAAATTATTTGCAGATAAGAACGGAGTTGTCAAGGAGACTTCAGCTTAAACCTTCTCCCCGGCCCTTGATTCTGAAAAGGCTATAAACTGAGTTTCTCTTATCACTGTTTGTGTCTCTTCATCTTAGTCTTCGTCATTTCCAAAAGAAACATTTCCAAAATAGGCTGTGTCTCTGTAACTGCTGCGTTTGCACTGGCCCGAATTGGGACTTTTCTACGCAAAAGTAAGCTACAAAAACCACAGGGAGGTCACATGCTTAGCCAACCACGAGGCTCCTGATCGAGAAATAAATCTATAAACAGCAACATCAGCATTCACCCAAAAGAGGAGAAAGTAAGAGAACCAGGCCCAACAATTCTAGCCAACGAACAGCCGAAGTCACATTTAAGATCTAGTACGGGCATAACCATTACCTGCTTACTGAACAGAGAGTTTAAAAACAGACACAGCGACAACAAGGAGATGCAGAAAAGAGAGCAGGACATGGCATTCTTCTTTACTTAGCAACAGTAAAATGTCACAGACACAATAAAAATGCAGAACGAAATCAGCTGGTCTCATGACAAACCAGTGAAATTAAACGCTGCAGGGCATTAATTAATTATTTTAAAAATAACTATCAGTTCGAGTCAAGTAAGACTTTGAGGAGCACCGCCAGAGAGTTGAACGTGGTGGTGGTGGCCCTTCTCTCAATAGTAAAGGCTCCACGCTTTGAACGGGGAACTAGAGAGAAGGAGGTGCTCGCTGTGCGTGGGGGGCAAGGAGGAACACGGGAGCTTTGGTTCCTCTGGAGTTCCTGAGAAACAAACGGAAGGGGAGCCGAGTTCATTCTTAGACTTTTGTGCGCTTCTTCAGGCGGAATTTCAAGCCAGGGGGACGCATTTTGGTCGGCTGAACCTTTTCTGAAATGAGACAGGAGGGGAAATTTTTTTTAAAAAAAAAGATAAGAGAGAACGTTCATATAAATGAGTCAAGTTATTCTTAAATAATCCATTGGAGGGGCATGCAGGAAAGAGGCCATACTCTTACAATAGCTATCAGAAACAGCCAAACGAAGAAGAAGCTAAGATAAAAGTTGGCATACCGTTATGGGAAGAAAACTGCCAGGAGGAACAGTATTAAAATCTAGTAGAAGCCAGAGAGGAACTTATCAGCTGATTCAAAATAAACCATCGTTCTAACACTTCTGGATAATCTTCATAAGCCATGATGGCTGGCTGAGGAGGGCAACTTTACTACGGGTGATCAGAGTAGGGTTGGTATCCAGGAGGAATGTGCCTCAAACAGGGCTGGGCTTCAAAAATTTTAGCAAGAGGTTCTCTGTCCTGTTGCTGGGTGGACGTGGCCATGGTGGGCGTGGCCTAGTTGGCCTCCTGCACCACAGAGGGGGGGAGAGTGTTTTTGCCCTCCCCAGGCTCCGGAGGCTTTCCTTGAGCCTCCGGAGAGCGAAAACGGCCTCCCCAGGCTCCGGAGGCCCTCTGGTAGGCCCGTTTTTCACCCTCCCCGAGCCTCCGTGCGCACCCTGTACTTACCTGCATCCAAAACAGGCTGCGTGGGGACTCCTGGGAGGGAAGGGATGGGCGGGGCCAGCCAGGAGTGGGATTTGGGAGTTCTCTGAACTGCACAGAACCTTAGCTAGAGGTTCTCACGAATCCCTGTGAACCCCCAGCAGCCCCACCCTTGGCCTCAAATGCCAAGAATTCTTGGACGATGAAAAGATCACTCCATCTCATCAGACCAGCAAACGGATCTATCCTGCTTTGGGATTTTGGGATCTTTTTTGTTTGTTTGTTTGTTTGTTTGTTTGGGGAGGAAATGCAAGAGGTTAGCTTTGAGAAGGGATCTCAAGAATATAGAGTTGAGAGTTCCAACCCAGGCATCAGACCAAATACTTCTAGTTCACTTTCTAGAAATCAACAGCAGGAGGAGAGGACCAAGGGCCAAGGACTCTTTTTGGAAGCCATTTTGTTAAACTAATTAATAATTTAATAATAATAATTTTTATTTCTATACCGCCCTTCTCCCGAAGGACTCAGGACGGTGTACAGCCTATTAAAAGCACCAGACAAACATCAATTAAAATAATTTAAAATTATTAAA